CGCCGTAGTAATATTCTCACCTTAGCTACCTCGGTCAGTAGCAGGTTTTCTTGTGTCCCCTGTCTCCGCACTCCTTACAGCCAATCATGCTGTTTTATTTCATGATTTAGTTTCATGACCACAGGTTTGCCTGCTGAGTCTAAAAGTAGCAGCAACCCAGACTGACAGCAGCTCATTGGCTAATTTGTATCACATGTAGCCTGGTGCCGGAGGCTCCGGAAGGCTTTACCGTATTAACAGGAGAAGAGGCGCAAGTGAAATAAAATACTGTCATTGGACATTATTTATAAATGTTTTAAATCAGGTTTTGTCCGGATTAGCAAGCATGTGGGTCCGAATCCGGACCCCAGTCCGCCATAAGAGTTCTTGGTGAGACAATGAATGAAAAAGTTTAATGCCTTTGTGAAGCATGTGGGCATATTAAAATACTATGGAAATATTTATTTTCTTTATTTTCATGTACTTATCCAATCTAGGTGCTCCAGGTCTTCCTGGTGTCGGCAGAGATGGCAAAAATGGAGAGCGCGGTGAAACAGGAAGTCCAGGCATTCCAGGACCTGCTGGTCAAAGAGGACCCTCTGGACCACCTGGTCTCTGTGACCCATCTACTTGTATAAACAGACTTCCTCACCTCTATATGGTCAGTGGAAAGAAATCCTCCTCGTACAAAAACCCATGAGACATCCAAAGGTCAATGACATTCGCCAGACCTCATCCACCCAGCGTCACCATGTTTCAGGGCTCTTCATTAACCCGAACATGGTGTTTTTTTTGGAGGAGTCCCCATCGGCACCACAAATCAAAGACACTTAGTGAGAAACACAGATGGGAAACAACTGCACAAAACTGTAAAGACATTTTAACTTTAGAGTTTTTAGAGGGAATTTCCCCATTGGGGAGAAAACACTTGTTGCTGCGCAGCCTCTGGTCCTTAAGCCCCCATAACCTGATAAGAAATAATATCCCTGCCACTAGGCCATTGAGTAAAGACTGGTCAACTTATATAAAAATCTATGATTTCCACTAATTAATTTACTTTGCCCCATTCAAATGTTTACGGATGTTCGTCAACTATGTGGCTCCAGTGATTTTTTTTTTGTTTTTTGTTTTTTTTGGCCAGTTGTCTGTTTTATGAAACATTGCAATAAAGTGGTTAGTTTTGAGAAATTTACTCAGTAACAAATTTAAACACCCTACCCTTATGTTTGTGGGATCATGCATTTATAGAGGGAGCCGACTATGACCTATTCAGGATGGTTTAAACATGATCTGTGACAATCCACTGCCTCTACATTAAAGTGGTTTTCTGTAAAACAATCAAACAAAAAACAAGGGTTGTTCTCTGGATATAGTGTTAAATAGTTGCCTGGTTACAAAGGAGAGCTGATATCATTCTCTCTCCCCTCTGTTTGCCAATGACCAATACATTTACTGTTCAAATATGACCTTTAAGCAATGCGCTGGAAAGGAGCGAGCTTGGCAGCCAACCCAAGGACATCCTTTTAATTTGATAGATCACATCATGACTCAGCTACAATACATTTAAAATGTCTGCTATGAATGGAAAGAGTGATGGGCATTTATACAATCAGATTTAGCAAAAACTGCTGCTTGATTTGCATAACCAAGGTACATGTAGACATGATAATTCATTAGAAAAAAAAACAGATATACACACTGGAAAAAATCCAAATCCAGATAATTTAATTTTTCTTTAATTTAATGCATTTTTTCTTGAATTGAGCAGGTAAGTGAGACACTTTGCCAATGGAACAAGTCAATTTACATTTAAAAAACAAAAAAACAATTACATAGTCTTATTTCAAGTCTATATTATCTAATTATCTTATTTTAAAAGTAAAAATTCTCATTCCATTGGCAGATCTTATTTACCTACTCAAATTAAGGGTAAATACACTTAATTTAAGACATTTCTACATATTTCTAGATTGTTTTTGCAGTGTACTAACAACAGATAAAACAAAACTTATCTTTTGATAATATACAGTAAAATAAAGAGAACAACTAAAAAAAAAGACACAAAGCTTGTGTTAGAAAATGAATTTGTTCCAATCTTTATTATACACTACAGTACAGTACAATACAGCCGCCCCCCGATACTTACACTGAGCTACTATTTCAAAATATGTTAGCACCAATTATTAAGGCAAAACTGACAAAGAAATAGGAAACTGTAATGGAATAAAACACAAATACATATAAAATATTTCAAATTGTGAATAATTTACTAGTATAACTTATGTTTTGCTTTGAGAGTTGCAGATCTTTATCCCATCTTGATGCCATAATGAGCATCTAGAGAACCACAAAGTTTTAACACTGATTGTTCAACAGTATGTAGAGAAGCAGCTGCTTAGAACTAACAGAAATAAGATGTTAATCAGCACTAAATGTACTGGAGTATTGGAGTAATCTTGCATTTAAATCCTCTTTATAGCAGACTATAACAGAACTTTAAAGCAGCTATTATTGTAATCTGCTTTCCATTAACTCCTTTATAGGTAGAAAAATCTGATTTATTAAAGAAAAGATAAAAAAAATCCATCCTTTTCTTTGTTTAATGTAAAATGAAGTTAACATTTAAAATGTAAAAGGAAATCATGGAGTTTGGTTCCCTAGATTGTTTAACCAAGCTAGACCAGCTACTAAAGCACACCGTTTTATGCCAACAATGTAAGCAAGCTGAACTCCTAACATGCTGCAGAAACCTATCCAGTCTGATTTGGGGTACCAAAACAAAACTCAATGTGGATAAATGATTGGAGCTCCAAATAAAGAGAGTAAAAACAATCCACTGGAGTTTGTTTCAAAGTTTGAAGACATTTCGCTTTTTATCCAAGAAGCTTTTTCAATTCAAAATGTCAGGAATAGCGTTGAGTTTGAGGTTTTATTCAGTAGCCAAACAAAGCCTTGTTTTTGTTTTTAAAACATGCAAACTGAAACAGACCCGAGGGGTCCAACCCTTTTGAATTTGGCTTCTTTTGTTATCCTGTAATACCCAAAACCTGTCTATGTCTCTGAAATGGGGGTCGTTAAAGGGAATGGTTGTCTGGCTGAATAGGCGAGGTCTTCTGCTCTCCTGTACAGCTGGGGTTGCGATGAGAGCTGTTTTGATAGACTACTGTATAAAACCTCGAACTCAACGCTATTCCTGACATTCTAAATTGAAAAAGCTTCCTGGATTGGAAGCGAAACGTCTTCAAACTTAGAAACAAAGTACAGTGCATTGTTTTTAACTTTCTTTTTTTGGAAGGACTATGACCTGGATGACTGAGAATCTTCACTAACAAATGATTGGAGCCACTGGCGTTGCATCCATTTTTGTTGGACTTTATTTTGCAGTTGGGGTTCTGGCTTCTGATTCGCCTACATTGAAAAATAAACCATATTCAGTAAAATACTAAGCCACCTTTCAAGCTCTTAAAATAGCTTCTTTCAGCTATTAATTAAATGTAAAAAGACAATTTTACAGATTTTAAAGAGAACCCAGGAAATTACACAATAAGGAACACTTTAAAAAAGGATTGAGATTTAGGTCTGATAACAATTGATTAAAATCTTTATTGTCAATGTGAAATACGACATTGCTTTAATCTAAAGAAGGCTAATCTCTACAGCAGAGGTGTCAAAAGTATTTATGTTTATTAGTCAAGTAGAAGTATAAATCCTACTGTTTAGAAACAGAAGCTAGAGTATCAACTTGAGCTTTTTACTCAAGTAAAAGTTCAAAAGTACATTTTTAAAAAAATATTTAAAGTATAAAAGTAAAAGTAATGCAGATGCTTTACTGCACTAGTCTATTTAAAGGAACATTTTTCTACAATTCAGGATGATAACTTCCTTATACTTAATTTTTTAGTTAGTTTTATAACAAATGGTAACAGTGTCAAATGCATCTTTGCATCTTCTTTTAAAACGATTGATTTGAGTTTGTGTTGAACAACAAGTTGGGGCAGCACCGGGTCCAACCACAAAGAAATAACATGTCTGAATTAAAGAAATTATTTTATTAAACGAGTCCATTTTTAAAATGTAAGTAGTAGAAGTAAAACGTTATCTATCCAGTAAACTATAGATAGCCAAAATTTCTATTTAAGTAAAGTAAAAAAGTATTTGTACTTTCTTACTTAACACCTCTAGTCTACAGATCAAATGTAGCTCATTCCTTCATGTGTATGAATAGTTTCCTTCAGTTCACTAAAGCTAATAATTTCAAGCTTAGTTGAAAAACCAGAGCAGATCCAGTCTTCTTTAAGCAGAAGCAGGATAAAAGTATCAGGAGTTTTTCTCATCATGCTAATTGCTCATTTGGTGTAAAGGTGTTTAGCTAAGATGCTAGAGGAATCTAATTTTTCTTCAGTTGTTTATATAATACTGTAGAGCACTGCTGTTCAGCTGGCTTTGAATTCCCAATAAGCAACACAAACAGTCTAGCTAAAAATATGTTCTTCAGTCTACCTTCTACCACCAACATCTGAGGCTTGGTTTGATGTCTGAGTTGCCATGCCACCCAGGTAGCATTTCTAATGTCGTTATTAGAAATGCTACCTGTGGCTACTTTCCAGTGGCTAAAATTTGATACAAAACCCAATAATAATGGGGTAAATTAAAAATTTTCTCAGGTTTTATTCAATAATTCTGTTCATGAATCATTATTTAGTTGAGTGGGAAACAGAAATGTACAATAGTGTTTTTGCTGCCATCGACAAGAAAGGATGTAACGCCAGTCTGAATGCAACACGGCCATGTTTTGTCTTACCAGGTGTTTCACAGTCGCAACTTTACATTCTTAAGTCTCTGATCCTGTAGTTTTAAATCTCTAACAGAAGATCCATATTTTCAAAGTTTTGATGCATAATGAGTCTTTTTGCAAAGATTAGTTAGCAATTTTTAAATGGTTCTCCATTCAATAAAGGGCATATGGTGAAAAAGAAAATACTTGAGCAAAGCTGGAAGGAAATGATTAGTTTTACCAAGACTTTAAAAAGAGATGGAGGTCCGCCATTTTTAATTACCAAAGCAACAAGCTTAAACAACCATTACGTTTCACCAAACACATAGACGGCAAGCAATACAGTAAAGACAAAGACAGTAAAGCAAGTCAATTATTATTTTTTTTTTTTTAAGAAAGCCCCTCCATAAATTTTCTTTCAATACAGGTCAACGGATACTTTGGGGACATTATAAGCAAAAATAAACAAAACATTTCCTTCCTGCGTCTGTTTTTGTCTTTTGAACGTTTTTTTTCTTGTAAAGGCTGTGCAAAACGGCTGCTTGGGAGTTTTTTTTTTTTAGACTATATGCAACGAGGTGACTGAAAAACTCTGGCATGGAGATAAGAAGCTGTTTGGAACCTCCTCCCACACGCAATAGCTTCTGTTGTTTGCTTCAAATGTCTGCTTCCACCCTCAGCGACAGAAAAAGAAAGAACATCCATGTCTGAGTAACCACCATCTGATGGGTGGAAGACCCATGGCAAGAGATTTATTTAGCAAACGGTGAGTGACGTGGTGTAGTGTGGGATGTGATGGATAACTGAAGGGAAGCAGGAAGATAAACCTTGAAATAAGCGGAAACATTACATTTATGATCCTATATTTGTTACAGACAGTATGCAAGTAAAAAAACAACTTTAGCTGCCCTCTATGCCCCTGATCGGAAGTGCTCCACGTTGCTCCGTCCCCTATGACAACCCAAACCCAAGCTTGATAGCAGTAAATGAAAAACCTGACCGGCAGCACCTGTTGCGTCAGAACCCCTGTAGCAAGGTTGATTTAAAAGAAAAAAAAATGTTCTTGATTTCATATGACTCAACAAAGTTCATAAATACAGCCAAACTTCCAGCTCTGTGAGTCTCCTGTTTCCTATTACCCCTTTATGTTTTTAGTGTGGGGTCTTTGAGCCAGACTGGCATAGTAAGCACATTGGCTGGGGTCGCACTGCCCAGGAGGACCTGGAGGTCCAGGTTGACCATGCGGCCCGGGGTTTCCTGGCTCTCCCTGGGCTCCAACCTGTCCCGGGCTTCCGTCTTTGCCATATCCGGGCATACCAGCTGGACCTGAGGCGGGAAAAAAAGGAATCATGCACTAAACTATAGCAGAATTCTTGATAATTACGGTGAACAGGAATTTAGAACTTACCCATTGGACCAACTGGTCCCTGCTCTCCTCTCTCACCGACACCAGGTTCTCCTTTCTCTCCCCTTGCTCCTTTATCACCTTAAAGAGGAAAATAACACACCCATTGGCACAAAGTTTCTGAACAAACTAGTAGGATGTCATCAAATGATTGCTGTTTTATAGACAATGTGTAAATTCTCAGTCATCAGGGTCGTAGTAATCCAGAGAAACAGGCTCAAGTTGGAGACAATAGGACTTTCACACACTTTTTCCAGGAGTCTTTGTCAATTCTGTTAGCTCACTCTAAAGCAGAGGTCACCAATAAAAATCAGCAGGGTCCAAATAAAGAAAATCAACAACAAGAAAAGGTTCGGAGAAATTTTTAATTATAATCTGTTGCTTAAAACAGAATTTCACACTGAAATAAAATGAGGTTTTTATGCATCCATGTTATACATTACGTTTTTAAATAAAAAATATATTTAAAAAATAGAAAATGTTTCCATTTTAAAATCTAAAGTCTGTTTTGAAGTAGAGAACAAACTGTTCAGATTGGTAAAATGGTAAATGGCATGTACTTATATAGCGCCTGTATTCAAATCAGGAGATTTGACACTACATTCATTCACGCATTCACGCACACACTGATGGTGGCGAGCTACGTTGTAGCCACAGCTGCCCTGGGGCTCACTGACAGAAGCGGGGCTGCCGTACACTGGCGCCACCGGGCCCTCTGACCACCATCAGTAGACAATGCAGGTGAAGTGTCTTGCCCAAGGACACAACGACAAGTCGGAGTCGGGGCTTGAACCGTTAACCCTTCGATTTCAGGGCAAACTCCCACATCCAACGCCACTGTCGCCCTATATGGTATATAGACAATTTCCTGATTCACATATTTTATAAAGCATCTGAACTGACTTTATATGGCTTAATGAGAACCGTGGGCTTTATGCTGCCCTGCAAGGCTTTAAACCTGGGTTTGAATGGAGACAAAGCCATTCTCAAAAAAATATCAAGGTGCTCATTTTAAGCATGGATCCATACTTATTTATGATTATTTTCATGGTGGAGAATCCTGCTTCACAGCAGCAGGTTGAGTCAAACATCCTCTAAATGTGCAGGGTCATCTTTGAGCACCATTTCACTTTTCTTTCACCAGTTCACCACAGTTCTTCCAGCAGTCCACACTTTCTCTGCTCTCTTTTTCTCATCATCTTCTCCTTCTTTCCCATCGCCCGGCTTGCCACAGGTTTGCCTGCTGAGTCTAAAAGTAGCAGCAGCAGCAACCCAGACTGACAGCAGCTCATTGGATAATTTGCATCATGTGTAGCCTGGTGCCGGATGCTCTGAAAGGCTTTACCATATTAACAGGAAAAGCGGCGCAAGTGAAATTACACACTGCCGAAGAACAACATGCAGTCATTTATAAATGTTTTAATTCAGGTTGGGTCCGATTTAGCCAGCAGGTGGGTCAGGATTCTAATCTGTGACCTCTGCTCTAAAGCAATCCGGAATTGAAGCAGCAGGAAGTTTATTTTCCTTACAAGTCAGATACAAATTAAGTCCAACCCGTTGAAATTTTTTTTTGAGTATGGGTTATGTGTTTACCTGTTTAAGTAAAATCACACAAACACACTCATCATTGGGTAAATGTCCAAACACATAACCCATACACAACAAAAGACTCCAACAACTGGACGACGGGTGGGTCTTTGATTTGTATCTGCCTGGGAGTTTGATTTGAATGTATCTGGTAGGATGGACCTCCGGAAACTTAAAAACTCCAACTACAAGACATCATCACTCAAACTATAGATTGCTCCCATGGGGGCCGATGAACTGTATGAGCCTTCTGGATAGCTGTTCAGATGTCTTCAAAAAACTCAGTGAAAGTCTTGGTTTTGCATTGAAGGTAGATTTTAGGTCCTGTATAGAGAGGAGATTGTGTGTAATGTGCTTAATTTGTATTGTTTCACCATTTAAGAAATTGATGCTGAGAATAAACACAATAAGCTCTTCAGATAACTATCTGGTTGTCTGTTTAAATCTCTAAATATCCTTGATGAGGCCCTGCTTAATGTAACACCTCAAATAAATTAAGAAAGTGAAAACTTTAGATAAAAATTTAAAACTATTATTTCTTATTTGAGAAACTACCATAGGCGTTTTAAATATGTATCGTTATAATAAGGAATTTGAATCCATTAGCAGATTAGAACAGCCATTTTTTCTTATTCCAAAACCAGAGTATGTCTGTAGGGAAAACCTAAAGTATTGGTCTTACCCTTAGGGCCCATGGGTCCCCTCGGGCCTTCGCCTCCATTTTGTCCAGGCATACCCGGTTCTCCGGGTGGGCCTTGTCGCCCGGGGCTGCCTTCTTTACCTGGAGGGCCTGGTGGTCCAGGACGACCCGCTGTACTCTTTACATGGGCAGGCTGGATCTGAGCCATGAGGTAAGCTATTTTGGCTGAAGAGGAAGAAAAAAAAGTTAGCAGTTCTTAAAAACCTCAAACACAGTTATGCTACATTTTCCAAGAAGAAAAATAAAGGTTTTTCATAGACATAAAGACAAAATAACTGTTTCCTCACCATCTAATTGCTTGGCCAGCTCCTCCTGGACAAGCCTTCTCATCTGCTCCAGTGACACTGACTCCCCCTAAAGAGACACAAATGTTAATCAGTGACTCAGCAATCGATGCTGTTTATGCTTTCCGCTTTTATTGCCTTTGCACAGACACGACTCACCCTGGGTCCTGGGAGCCCAGGATTTCCTGAAGGTCCCTGAGGCCCTGGGGCTCCGATTTCACCTGGTGGTCCCGACATACCCATCATCCCTGTATGACCCTTTCTGCCTGGGGGACCAGGATTTCCAGGCATGCCAGGATCTCCACTCTGTCCTTTTTCTCCCTTTGTGCCCGGGTCTCCCTGAGTTATATAATAACAGTTATTATTAGTAAACAGTTTAATTTTTTTTAAGTGTTGTTAAAATGAGGAAGTTATGTCCCCTAAAAAAGGCGTTGCGCCTCGGGGGGCTTCCTCCCTTTTCCTGGGAGCAAGTTATTTACTACTCTTAACTCAAACTGGGTAAAACATATAAAAAGGACTATAAAACAGGAGTAAAAAGTAACAGAGTTTATTCCAGATCAGGTCCTTACAGGAAAGAGAAAAATGCTTTGAGCTTGCACAGCTGTGGGCTCAAAAATCACGTCCGCGAGCGTCCTGCAAATATTGAGTCCCGAACAAGGTCATCTCCTGCTTCTCATACCTTATGAGTCTATGTGTTGCATCAGGTGGAAGCTTAGCTGTCCGTATCAGAAACTGACACGCCATCAATGCCCTGACCCATATGCAGCTTGCTTCTATGCCTCAGGGTTACAGATAGCTCTCCTCTATCAGACCGGCTCCAAGATGTGCCCATATCCTGTGTATTCTTTAAGACACGAAGGCTGTCCTGATTAGATGACCTCCTTACACACAGTGACATCCACAATGTGAAGGAAGGCCTTCTACTCTGTCTAATCTGGCTAACAGAATAACAATGCACATAATGTATAAATATTAAAACCTAACAGTGTCTTAAATCAACAAATATCACAGCAGAGAGAGAAATGAAATATGTGATAGAATAGGGGAGCGTTGAAGTAGTCTAGATTATCAATATGAGAACCAACAAAATGAAAATATTTTACGCAAGGCATAAAGAATTATTTCATTAGTTCTATTTCAGGGTTAGCTAGATCCTAAACCTTTAACCTGAATTGTTTTGAATTTGTGGCTTTTTAGAATGAGGTATAACGACAGTAGGTTCGGAATAAGGACTCTGCCCTGCAACCCAAGTGTTGACCTTTCAAGGCTTTCAGTGTCCTTGGGCAAGACACTTTCTCTGCATTGCCTACTGATGTTGGTTGGAGGGACTGGTGGCGCAGATGTACTGCAGCCTGGCTTCTACCAGTGAGCAGCAGGGCAGCTGTGGCTACAATGTAGCTTGCAACCATCAGTGTGTGAGTGAATAACTGGAAGAAGAGTAGAGCGCTTTGGTCAAGTCCTTTACTTGCAAAAGCGCTATATAAGAACAGGACGTTTACATATGGCCAACCGTTTCTAAGGGTATAAGTCAGGAGTTTATTACATCTTATTTTAAATGTAACAAAATCTTACCTTTTTATTTTTTTAAACTTGTGCCCAGGGATGCTGCATATACTCCTCTTGGGCAGTTTTTTTTTTATGGATAAAATATTTGGAACGAATGCTTTGATTGGCTGATGGTGGATCTTTTAGTTATCAGGCTCCTCTCCTGTTGAACCAGCTACCAGTATTAGTCCATGACGCAGACACCCTGTCTACAGTACTTTTAAGGCTAGGTTTAAAACGTTCCTTTTTGATAAAGCTTAAAGTTAAAAACAGAGTGATACAGTATTTGCTTAGTCGCTACTGTAGGTGAGTAGAGAGGCAGGAACAGATGTTTCTCCTTGGCACTACCGCGGCCCTACCTTTCTCATACCTCATCCTAAATAGTAATGTTTTCCTAAGCTATATTCTGTATTTGTGCTGCTATATGCTATCTTTCCTCATTATGCTTCATTCTATCTTTATTCTCCCATTCTGCAGTATTTTTTCAAATTCCACCCATGAGTTTATGTTCTTTTTTATTAATCATAGTAGCTTCATCTGGTCTGTTGCTGTTCGGCAATCCTGGAGAGAAATATCAGCTATGCCGCTGCCATCGACATCTCTGTTTATAGATGATGGAACTTGGTCTTTTTTGTCCGGTGTGGTCCTGTTTCTTTTACTGTGACTAGCAGAATTGGTTCAGAGCTCATCTGTGTGGCTGTGTCTTTCCTGGACGGGTCCCCCTCTGGAGCTAAGAACAGTTGCAGCCCTTTGTATCTCTGCCTCTTTATGTATGTCTGCTTCTGTCTCCTTGAACCCTAGTCAGCCTCAGCAGAAGGTCGCTCAGACTAAGGCCCCGTCCACACAAAGTCAAAACGAACACGAAACGCTAATATTTTCCAGAACATTTGTCGTAAAGACGGAGACGTAAAATAAATGTCATCGTCCACACGAATGCATGAAAACGCTGCAAAATGTATGCCAGGCCTGTAAGTGGCGCTGTGGTGCCAGAGCAAAAATAGGCGACGAAATGTTGGGCATGTGCACTAATATTTATACATGGTTGCCCTGCGGGTCCATTTTCGTGGTTCAGTCAAATTCAGGTGCTGAACTATGTCGTCGATATTGCTCTGTTCTTCCTGGAGATATTCCAGAAGAAGAAGATTCTGTTGTAAGCCCGACAGCAGGGTGAGTAGCATGAGCAGCAACCATTCAACACAGTACGGCGCCATTGTTGTTGTTATACTGTGTTGCGCATGCGTGTTTAGAGGCGACGCTATGACGCATGCGTGTAAAAAAAAAAATGCGGTTAGAGCTTAAAGATGGAAACGCGAAAACGGCGTTTCAAAATCTTCCCACTCTGAAGGCTGAATAAAAAAAAGATCGTTTACAGACCCCCGAAACGCCGGCTTGGTATGGATGAGAGGCTGGTTTGGTGAAAAATTTGTGAATTTAGGCCAGGGTTCGGCTTCGTGTGGACGGGGCCTAAGTCTGGTTCTGCTGGAGGTTTATTTCTATTAAGAGGGATTTTTCATTTTCGCTGTCGCTACATGAATGCTCGGGTGTGAGGGATTGCTGAAGGGTCAACGAAAAAATTTTAATGAAGGTTGTTGCCGCAAGCTCATCTAAGAGGATCATGTCTTGCAAATCAATGAATGGAAGGAATCAACTGGTTTTCCTAACCAACTTCACTGTATTGTATCTGTAAATTGCCTTCAGTTGAAATCTAAATTGGTGCTATATAAATAAACTGAAATGAATTAAATTTAAAGGTTATTAAGTCTTATTTATTTCATTAAGAACCCTATAAATGTTTAGGCAGGAATACATAACACACAACATCTAGTACAAATCATTGTCTTGCCAGGTTAAAACCTTCCTGCTGTTCATCAGTAACTGATCTGTTTGATACTGTTGAGGAGTTGACTTTTTCTGCCTTTTTCACTGTTTTTCACAGTGCATTGTTCTAAAATTGGGCCACGGCTGAGTCAGAATTTTCAAGTTGACAAAGAGTCAACATCTTGGACTGATTCATCACCATGCATTGGAAAAAATGTCTTTGTCCACTCTAAAAATGGGTTGTTCTCACACAGATCTGCAACTGATTTCAGAAGTGTGTCAGGTTAAAAACTCCTAATAGTTTGCCATTTTTTCCTGATTCCCATGGTTGTGTAGATTACAGCTGGGTCCTTATTTTTCTTTCCACCTGAGGTGCTTCTTACCTTATCTCCTCTTAGGCCACGATCTCCAACTCGACCGGGTATTCCCTGTAAAACACAACAGAAAGGTAATAGTGCACATTAGGTATTCTGTGTGCTTTTTATTTTTCTTCTAAATAGCTTGTTAGAGGTAGTTTTAAATGTTAACCTGTTTCCCTTCAGGGCCCGTTGGACCAGGTGGACCCTGTAAAATAAAAGGTTTGATTAATTACAGCTGGGTCAGTTTGTTTTTGACCAATGTAAAGTAATATTATGAACCAAGTCCTCACCGCAGGTCCCTTGGGCCCACTGAAGCCTGGTATTCCAGGGTTTCCTGGTTCTCCTTTGTCTCCTCTAAGGCCCTGTTGGACAATGGAAACACGGCTCTTCACCACATAAGTACCTGTAACTGCATCTGAAAAGCCCCTCCATAACTGTGGACTCAACAAGTTTACCATTCAGCTACATTAAGCTATCTGGATACAAACCTCGGGGGAAAATCCTTCGACTGGACAAGGCCAGCCTCCAAAATATCAAAATTCATTATTTCCGGACACAGCAGTCTATCTCCTTATCATTTATTAACCTTTCTAAATCATGAATCATGCCCCTCCTCCTTCCTTTAGGGAGCTGGGGATTGTTTCCTCCCTCTGCTGACTGATATGATCTTTTTCTCTCTGCTCTGATAACTGGTTCGCTCTCCACTTATAGCCACAATTTAATTCTGTTAAAGGAATAGTACACCCAAAACATGATTAGCCTTCATTTTCTACTCACCCCCATGCTGAACAACACTCTGGAGTACTTTTTTGATATCTCAAATGCATCTGGAGATCTGGGAGGCTTCTTGCTGTCTGCTGACATTCAAATAATGGAGGTCTATGGCGCCCGAGACAGAAAGGTCCATAAAAGTCCACAAAAAACGTGTCAATATTCCTCCATACTGCTCGTCCAATGTATTCCAAGTGTCCTGAGAGGGTAGCATCCAGAATTTACTCGAAACGAAGTCATTTAGAATGTTTTTAGAGCATAAACAGTAGTGTATAGGATTTCCTGAAAGCATGCACATGCGCGCTCCCGACGCTACGGAAGCCGGCAGACCAAACCAGCGCATTCAGCTCGGCAAAGAACTCATGCTCTTCCTCAACACTGAAGTCCTCAGACATTTTTCTTTCGTTGTTTCTTTCTTTGCACAGGTAAACAGCACATTTCTTCTTCTACGCTTGCATTATAGGCAGAGCAGACGCTGAATGCGCACTTTCATCTGGTTTGGTCTGCCGGCTTCCGTAGCGTTGTGAACGCGCCGGCGCGCGCTTTCAGGAAATCCTATACACTACTGTTTAGGCTCTAAAACGTTTTAAATGACTTCGTTTCGAGTAAATTCTGGACGCTACCCACTCAGGACACTTGGAATACATTGGACGAGCAGTATGGAGGAATATTGACACGTTTTTTTGTGGACTTTTATGGACCTTTCTGCCTCGGGCGCCATAGACCTCCATTATTTGAATGTCAGCAGACAGCAAGAAGCCTCCCAGATCTCCAGATGCATTTGAGATATCAAAAAAGTACTCCAGAGTGTTGTTCAGCATGGGGGTTAGTAGAAAATGAAGGCTAATCATGTTTTGGGTGTACTATTCCTTTAAGAGAGCAGAATTAAGTGGATGGTCCTTTGTCCAACTCTTTTTCCTTCTGTTGCACAAAATCAAAATTCAAACATTGACATAAAATCCCAATTAAATCATGACCTAAACCAACTGCAGGCTTGAATGTCATTTCAATTTAAAGATGGGTTTTAAAATATCTTTATTTCACCATGAAGTCAGGATTCTGCCAAAAGTGCAAATTAATCTAAAACATTTTTAAATCTATTCAGTGGAAATTGACACAATAATTGTGTTATAATTAATTTGCCATATACTTTTCACACTTCCAAAGAAGTAGTTGTTCAAAACAGTTTTATAAAATAATAGGGTCTACATGATCATAACTTTTATCTAATCTAATGAGAGAAATAAAATAAATAATAGATTAAAAACAATAAGTATTTGTGTTGCGGTGCTCATATGTTTATTTATTAATCATTTAGGAGCACATGGGCGTAGGTTTGCATAGACTGGAAAAAATTCTTAAAATAAGTGCGTTTGTTCTTAGATTGAGGAGGTCAAAGATACATTTTGCCATTGGAACAAGACAATTTACATTTGAAATAAGAAAACACTATTGCATTGTCTTATTTCAAGTGCATATTATCTAATGATCTTATTTTAAGAGAAAAAAAAACATTCCATTGGCAAACTATTTCATTTACCTTCTCAAATTTAGGAAAAATACACTTAATTTAAGACATTTTTTGCCTATTTCTAGATCGTTTTTCCAGTGTAGGGACATATCCCTACCAAAATTTTGGACCGACCTATTTGTCCCTACCAATAATTTGATTTGAATAACATGTTTATATTACAGTTCAGGGTGGTGGATTATTTTTCTCTCGCAGCTCCACAGCTCCGTAGCTGCTGCTGCCGCTCCATCTTGCTGCCCGGTCTTTCCTGTCCCTTAAAGTCAGTAACTGTACAGCCTAGCTTCCCTCTCAATGGTTGTTCTGCCTCAAGTTCTGCCTTCTCTCTTCCTGATTGGCTGTTTTCTGGTCCGTATGCGTGTATGCATGCTTGGAGCACGAAATAAGAATTTTATTAACGCTAGTTTCTTCAATTAATATTAGGCTACAAAGCTAGTCCAAGTTAAAAAAATTAAATAATTCTATCTACACTAAAACGGGTGAAAGCTGCTGATTGGTGATTCTTAGCCACAGTAAACTGAAAAAGAAAATGTGAGGGTTTCCCTTTTAACAATACTTCATTGCAATTACTGTTTTCTTTTATGACGACCCTTTGAGGCAGTTCAGCTATAAATAGCTGAATAGTTTCACCTGTTTAACTTTGCACAATTATATATCTTCAAAAGAAAATACAGGATAAATCCACCCACATATAACGGGCATATTTAGACTATATTTGGTTAAGTTGGCACATATTTACCTACTTTCTTAGTCACTGGTAGTTTTAAATGCAAACCTTTTCAAAGTGGAAAAAAGTCCTAATTTCTCATTCATCAGAGCCGGTGATGCTTCAAACATTGATAAACAGCATCTAGTGTGTGTAGTGCTTATAAAATTTGTATAAATGTAGCAAGAAATGCTGCTTTTCTCTTTAAACGAAATACACCCTGATGCTCATGTCAAGCATAAAAAAGCATGCAAATTTCTGCATTAGGTGCATTAGGTAATATTAGTTAGACTTAGGACCAATAGTGTCCCTACCAAAGTCAAAATCAAACCTACGCCCTTGTAGGAGCAAAAAGTGTTTTTAATTGAAATGGTTGCTTATTTTGATTTTTTAATATATATATATATATTTTTTTAAGTGATTATTCACTTGATGTTAATTAGATTTAAAATGATCATCCGGTCCCATCACTTAGATAAACATAATAAGCATTAAGACAGCTTTCTACATTTAGGATGCTAACATTGTTTTTCTAAATCACTAACATGGGATAATAAGGACAGCTTCAAATGTTAAATCCAGAAAAATTTGCCTTTTATTTTGCTAAAATAGTAAAATCTTGCAGAGCTAATTCTCCTCTCACACAACAACAACAACCTCTGCACTTTGACTTGTTGCTGGGGACCTTTTGGAGGCTGCTGACCTTTTCACTGGATTATTGCCTTCTAAAATTTGTATGAAGCTAAAGAGCAAAACCAGACCACAGATTCAAAAGGTTTGAATATCTTTCTTTAAAGTTTCAGAGCAGTTGAAAGGCAGAAGCTTACTGGTGTTCCAGGAAGTCCAGATTTTCCAGATGGTCCTGGATCTCCTGGCTTGCCCTGGAATAAGAATATTAATCAGACTGATGGAGCAGAAGAGCTGAAATGACCAATGTCAACTGTTATGTCCGTGATCTACAGCTTAGCTTCTCTTTCACAAACTTACCGGCTCCCCTCTTGGTCCTAGAAGTCCTTCTGGGCCAGGAGGTCCTTTGGGACCCTGTGAAACCCCAACAGTTTTTAATTGTACGGAGTGAAATTTGTTCCATTATTGTTGCAAGCGAATAAAATGTTTTATATGACAAAAAAAAGATGAAAAACATTTTAACCAAAAAATGGCTTAGAGAGTGAGTTTGCTGGTTTCTCAGATTTATATATTTAATTTTTCCTTTTTTCGATATTTGTTTTTTAGGGAGAGGAGGTTCACTGATCACATTCTGTTCACCTCAAACCCAATCCAAAAACACTTGTGCTTGTTTCTAACATCAATGCAGACCAATAGAAATGCATCTTTGCTCCTCACTCCAGAGGAAAGCAAGAAAGAAAAGAGAGAGTGATCTGTAAAATGCAGCTTCAAAAGAAGGCAATTCCTAAAAATCCGACAACCAGAAATTTGAAAAAACTGAAAATATGAAGAGAATTTAAAATGAACAAAAATCAAATGTTAAATAAAATAAAAAAATCAAACAAAACTTGTAAAACACTTTTATGAAAATATAACATTTGGAAAAAAGCACTTTCATTCCAAAAAACGTTTTACTATTTGTATTATGCATAAATATCCATCCAGGAAGCTTTTTCAGTTCAAAATGTCTGCTTACTGGAAAAGAAACTTGGAAAACAAAGTCCAGTGGTTTGTTTTTGAACTTTAAAAAAAAACCTTTTTTTAGAATGACTATGACCTGGACGACTGAGAATCTTCACCAACATTTTCAAAGTTTCCTTTCTGAATTTATTTTATTTTTGCAACAATAACAGAACAAAATTCTCTCCATATATACAAGACGAAAAGAATCAGATGTCTCAAGCCAAAAGCCTGACAATGATTTTAAAAATAAATAAAAAAATAAGGCTTTTAGAAGAGATGCTGTGCAGCCTGTTAGAGTTAAATGTGGCCACTGCAGTCTTTAAATGTGGCTGCATCAGTTTGTCACTTGATGAATGGTAGAAACGCTGCCTGCAGCATTAAACAGCAGCAGAATGTGCTGCTTGGATTTAGCTGCTTAAGGATTCTTGAGGAAACCTGAACAGTTTATCAAAGTTGGAGGACTTGAGCCTCTGAGTCACCAAATGCATAATACAGGAAATCTTGTCTTCTCTTTAAGTAGATAACAAGGTGGTAGGAATGTCCCATCTGGAGCTTGTTTGTGTTAAAGTACAAAAAGTGACTAAATATTCCATAGGTACTTGATGTGATGCTGAATGTTGTGTGTATTCTATACTTGTCTGTGTTTGTCTGTAATAATGAATTGTGAGACAGGAAGAGCTGGGAAGCGTTTGCTGTTTTCTGCTGTGTACTCCAGAGGTCTGGCCTACACGGCTAAAAGTGGTGCTGCAATAAATCAATGATCAGAGACTGATTCTCTGCTCATTGATCTCCATGTCCCGGTTGCTGTTTCAGGTAAACTGTTACTGTATGTCTTACTAGATTTACTGTGAGTTGCTCTTCAGATTGTTGGATGATGGGCAGACCTGTCCTGTGTTTTTTTTGTTATAACTGTACCCTACGCCGAACATTTCTCGTATTTCTTCCCTCTTCTCTAGAAATATCTCATGTTGTTTAATAACAACTGAACTTTTTTGATCTCACATTGGAGATATTTACCTCTTCATTTAACCCATCCCCCTTTGGGAAAAGTGGGCTGCCATTGTGTGGCGCCTGGGGAGCAGTGTGGGGTTAAAGTCGTAGAGAAGCGGCTGTTCCAACCGTTGCATTTCCACATTCTACCGAATGGTGCCCGACTTTACACGAGTGAATAAAGTGAATGTGATTGGTCGCTTATCAATGACCTGGGATTGTTGTGGCGGAAGGTTCACAAGCACCTTTGGTTGTGGTCGGTTTGTTAGAAGCATCTTGCTAACCAGTTAGCCACTTAATGCTAGTAGGTTCCCAATGGGAAATTCCATTGGGACCAAGTAGCACTAAATTGGTGACTTAGAAACGACACTGTCAAGGAACGCTATGGACAGAGGAAACATGCAAGAGGAGGAGAGTTTAGTGTCGGAGGTCGTGGATGAGTCTCCTCCATCATACATGTTTTATTTAAAGGAGGAAAGCGGGGATGGAGATGTTGTGGAAGAGGACGCCAGGGCGGCAGAAGCTTGGTTTGGTGTAGAAGGCTTACAGCCGTACATGTTTGAGCCCTTGCCTCACAACGCTGCCAGTTCTGTTAGCTCTACACCTGCTGAAGACACAGACGTCCATCCCCGTGAACACTGGGACGGAACTCAATGGGAAAGGAAACGATTCTGATTTCTTATTTCAACTGTTGGACATAAAGATGCTACGACCGAAAAAATTTGATTCACAGATGACCGTTGATATATGATTGGCCGAATTTAGGTGTTCAGGCTGATGTATAACTTAATAAGATAAAGGAAAAAAATCCACAGATTTTAAGATTTTTTAAAATAGAATTTTTCTAAATTTTGGGACAATATAGTCTCATAAAGAGTACTTTTATGTACATGTTTAAGCCAGAATGATTTGACATTTAAATATGATTTCCCTACGACTTTAAGGGTCCTGCCGAGAAAGCCAGAGTAGCAGTCTTCCAGGATTCCAAATTCTGTGCCATAACCACGTTTAAAAGTACTTGGTTGCACTTGATTTAGTTTCATAAAAATGTTAGTTTCGTATCACTAGCATACAGTAAAAATGATCCCTATTGTATCCGAATAAAGTTAAAAATACAAACTACTCTAATAGGTTTTACATACCTCCTTTCCAGGTTTGCCGTCACGTCCTGCTGACCCAGGCTTCCCATCCTCTCCCTGTGATGCAAATTAAAAAATACACAGAGTGGATAAATACATACAAAACAGTTTCTAACCATGTGGGACAGTGACTTTAAAAATAAACTGCAGTTTAACTGGAAACTGCCAAGAAAACTCTCCCAAATATGACTTTTAAACTCCGCCTTCAGGATAACAGTGTGCAGAGATATCACCTGGGTGACAGTTAATGTCAGCAACTATAAGCAGTGTGAGCTGAGGCTCAGGGTCTATAGCAACGATTTACATTTCTCTAATAAGATGGCTGCACTGCAGACTGGCGACAGCTGCTGCAGAGCCCACAGGCTGGCGGCCGCGCTGCGGCACCCTCAGAAGCTGTCTGTAATGAGCCATGCCATTGTTCACATCTCTGTGGCTCCGTTTGTGCTGCTGTGAGCTGAGCTGCATTAGAGGCAAAGCAGCAGGTGTGTTGGTTCTGCTAAAGGAGGCGTGTGTTGGGAGAATAAAAAGAAATGGATGTGGGACGAGTCCAGTCTGACATCGCAGTGTTACTTCAGAAAACAGGGAAAAGGATTAACATTTACAATAATAATAATAATTGGAGAATAATAATAATAAAAAAAACTACTGTACTTCCAGCTCTTCAGTGATTAAAAGTAAAACTTCCATTTCAGTTAGTTTTAATAACATTTTTAGTTGTTTCAATTAGAAATTTTTATTCCAGGCCTGAAATTATTTGTTTAAAAAATATCAAGGTGATGCATGACTGCATGTGATGTGATCATTTTATTATTGGCATCATGCAGCACCATAAGCAAAGCTGCTGTTACAAAAATAACAGTTTTAATTTATGCAAAGCTAAATCAAAACGAGCTAATTATAAAACATATGTGGATTTTATTTGCATTAACTACAAAGACATTTCTATAGAAGTCTTAAATTATGTTATATCTCTATGGCCAATAAAGAAAGTTAAACTAAAGAGTAGTGTTGTGCCGATGCCATGTTTTGGCCCCGATACCGATACCCAATACCTGGCTGTGCAGTATTGGCCGATACCGATACCATCTGTTTGAAATTGATGTGTGTATATATATATGAAGAACTGCATTCTACTAGGATGTATAATAATCGCCATCATGGTTTGTCAAGCTGCTGTCTACCTTTTTGAAGCAGGAAAAAGACTTATACAAAGTGAATCCAGTGGAACTTTTTATTGCCTTCCTGGAATGGGTGACAATAGTTGAATAAACTTTTGGCTCTCAAAATGGTCAGTGCCCTGTTTGTTGGTACTCGGCAATAGCGATACCATTTTAGAGCAGTACCAGGGCACTGCCCGATACTGGTATCAGTGCAACACTACTAAAGAAAAATATATGGATTTACAAAAGTATAAAATTCATTGATGTTAAATTAAAAGATCAAACAAAACTGTTCTTTGGAATAATATGTCAATATGCACCAATAATTCAGGAATATTTCTTACTTTTTGGTGTATTTTAAATGAAAATTATCGTTTTTAGATCAAATGAGAATTATAACATACTTAAACTAATAAAAACAGCGGTAACACATTAAACTCTTCTTTTTAGGTAGGTCCAAAATAACTTTCCGCAGATTAAATCTGTGTTCCTATCTGTAAACGACTGAAAGTATCACCTTTATTTTCATATAAAAATTAAAACACAACTGTAGATTAATTCATTACAGACACTGTAATTAACCAAATTAAACACTTTGATTGAGTCCCACCACTTGCTATTATTGATCTTCTCTAACTCACATCATTGGTTTTAGTCTCACAAATCCAGCCAAAATGTGCATGTTGGCCCTTTAGAATAGGGAATAGTAGACTGAAGGTACTTAATAGGCGCACTTGAATTGACTGAACACAACCCATATTTGCACCAAGTCAGATCTTAACTACTATAAGCAATTTAGTTTCAACTAATCTAATATGCACTGTAGTCTAAGTTTTTTTTTCACCATTTTTTAAACACCTTGAAGCCTAAAAGGCTGGTTATACTCCTGCAGCAGTGTGTCGCAGTGAACTTGTGGCAGATAATTTTGATTTATTCCCAATTTTGAAGCGTGGTCTGCTCTATGTTATTCCACGCCACAAAGCAAGAGGGACAATCGCAAACTAGCTGTGGGTCTAGATATGGCAGAGCTGGTGAGGAAGTTGGGGCAAGTTTGTGCGACAATGGAGGGACATGAGGGCGAAAAAGAGCGGGGATCCAGGTGGAAAAAGTGTCCCGGCGTTCCATCGCACCTCGCTCTTCTAGTTGGTCCAACTTCATGAGTCGTTTTCCACAATGGCGGTCATATAAACAAAACAAGGTGTTAAGGTACCAAACAGGAAATATGCATAGTGTAGAGCTAATGTAGATCTGACCAATCAGAGGCCTCCTGTCTGCCGTCGTTATTTACAAACCTTACTTTTAGTTCAGAAAATCACGAATACATGATTAGGCATGCAACTGAAGAAAACTTTAGTTTGCCTAAAGTAAAGTCAAATGCCTTAAAAAGAACTGTTATGTATAGAGGTATGAAAGCATGGAATTTACTGCCGAATTATATTAAACTGATAACTGATTTAAGGAAATTTAACAAATCATTGAAAGAACATTTATTAAATATAGAGGTAAAACACGATTAGGACTGTCTTCTTCACTTGCTGTGCTTTGTAGTTTGTTTTGATTAGTTTGGATTGTTTCTGTTTATGTATATGGGTATATATGTATATGTATATATGTATGTGTATATGTGTGTATGTATATATGTATATGTATAGATTATGGGAGATGTTGTTTTAATGTCCACATAATTTTATTTCATTTGTAATTTTTTTATTTCATGTTTTGTTGTTGGACCCCAGGAAGAATAGCTGTAGCTTGCTACAGCTAATGGGGATCCTAAATAAACTAAACTAAACTAAACCTACAGCTTTGGAGAGCTGCAGCATAGTGTCTGCAGAAGGGGCGGGGCATATCTGCGTTAATTGCGACACACACACAGACGACCTGGTTTCTGAGTATAAACTGGCCTTAACCCAGAGATAAATAAAAAACCTATAGACCATCTCTTCTGATCCATCTCATCCAGATGAAAATATATTGCAAAGGATAAGTAACACCATTATAAACCCCAAACGCTCCAGTTTATATTGACAAAAGGCCTTTAATTCTGCAGTGTTTTATCAAGCCCTGGATTACAGGGTTTTACACATTTAATCAATCAGCCATTGACACATAAGCTATAATGAAGCTACAAAGGCTAATTTCAAATTCTTCATCCTCACTTTTAACCAACGACTCCATGTTATATTCAAAACTTAGACAAAATTGGCTGTTCCCAAACGACAAATACCACAAATGTTGATCCAAAATGGGTCAGGATCAAAACAGAAGCATCGAGCTCATGGAACAACAGACAGAAAGATGCTGAAATAGTAAAGATGAAGCTGTGGATAAAACATGAGCTGCTTTTGCATTTTTCTTTAGTTTTTTTGTTTTTTATCTAATGTCTTCCCTCTATGGACATGTTTAGCCTTTAAAGGTGAGAGAAACTTTAAAATAGATTCATTACAGTAGTAACCATCCAAAATATCCCCACTTTCCTTTATGGGTCCTTGGCTGGTCCCCTTCAATTTCTTATCTTTGTACTAAAATATTATCTTTGACATGATTTGTGGACATTAATATCTAAAGTGAAGCGCCATCTCCTGGTCAGATCCTGTAGTTCATGTGAAAGGGTGGAGTAGAGTGAAAAATATGCACGCCCAGGACAAGGAAGGGGTCACCACAGAGGCTGGAAGTTGCAGGGGAATTTGCTTGGAGTTGCAGAGGAATCTGCTACCATTTGGCTGGCGTTTGACTGGGAAGGGCCATTTTGAATGGCTGCTACTGTATTAGAGACAAACCTGCCAAATAGTCGGTTTAATAATTCGTTAAAATATCATAATATGCATGACTCATTAAACGGTTGCAACAGTTAACTTCCCCTCTTGTAATCTTCCATCTAGAATTGGATAAAAATGTTAATACCAGCATCTAAAAAAATAACTTTTACCTTTGACCCTGGAAGTCCTGGCTCTCCTCTGTGGCCCTTGAAGCCCTGTGATAAAGGGAAGCAGAGTGTTTGTCTTTTTGTACCGTGGGAATGATCAAATCCAATTAGCGTTGCTCACTTACAGGGAGTCCCCGGAGTCCTGGGTTTCCTGGAGGTCCAGGTTCACCTTGCTTCCCCTGTAAAGAAATAAATGATAGAAATAGCTACAGAACAGCTAGATGTCTCTGTGCATAATACAGACTGAGTTTTATAGGTGGTGCTACACCAAATGTTAATGGATTAGTGTTGCCTACTTACAGGTTCTCCTGGTTCACCTGGTCTGCCATCTTTTCCTGTTTTTCCAGTTAGACCCTGAACATTTACAAAAATGCTGATTTAGTATCCTCAGCAAAGCATCATGCCTTTTTTCTCAATAAAACACCATCAAAAAAGGTTGTCTTTACTATCATGCCAGGAAGACCCGGTGGTCCTTGGATTCCTTTGAGACCCTCTTTGCCCTGGAGAACATAAACAGGGCCACCAGAGAAAAAACAGGAAATGATTAATGGCTGCTATTACAGCTCATGGTGGCTGACCTACTTTCTAGAGGCAAAAGGTCTGTACAAAATGGCAAATGGGAAATAACTGTTTCATAGGGGGAAGGCACAACAAGTGCAGGCTGACCTTTTCTCCAGGGGGTCCTGGGGGGCCAACCTGGCCGGGTTGCCCATCGTTACCCTTAAGAACAAAGATTTAGAGTCAATAAAGCTCAACAGAAATATCGACACCAAATGTAGAAGCAAACAAATTTGGTATACTATAAAAAACACTTACAGGAGAACCCATTAATCCTGCAGGACCCGGATGACCAGGGGGTCCAGGGTGGCCCTAAGATGACAGCAGCAGTTATTAGCACAGGTTCCAGTGCCGTGACAAAATTTTTCAAAACTTTTCCACAGCACCTGATATTCTGTGCGATCAACAGTTACCAAACTGAGCGAAACTTAAATCTCATACTCGCTCGCTCACTGTATGGCTGGTACACATTAATTCTCTTACAAATTCTCCAGAGCACAGCTTGCTTTGCGATTAAAACCCGATCAGAGAACGGAAAATCCGATTAAAATCCTAAACAGAAAAGTTTTGGATTTTCCTTTCCTTTTTTTCTTTCCTTTCCTTTCCTAAAATCCAAAGCAAATTTTGGGATTTTCATTATTATACAGGATTCTTTTATTATCAACGCTGTATGAAGGGATTTACAAAAATGTGCAATCATGGGTGAAACTACTACAACCATTGTTTTAGTTTCTGTTAATGAAGAGTTAAAATATCTGCTAATCTTTCTCATATCTTTTTAAAAGAGAATTCTGTAGCTGCTCCATCAGCCTGATTATAGCTAACAAAATAATCACACAAATCCCTGGTAATGTTCATTATCGTAACACCAACAAAGGTTATGAATAAATGGTGAAAAGGAATTTATTACTGTATATTGGTGATATATGAATTAATTGCAAAGATATGTATGTCTGTGCATTTTCATTTTGAATTATTCATCAAATCTTACTTAACCTGGAATATTTGTACAGCAGTATACAGTATATATATATATATATATATATATATATATATATATATATATATATATATATATATATATATATATATATATATATATATATATATATATATATATATATATATATATATATATATATATATTGGATCATTTAAAATTCTTCAAGGGAGTAAGAAAACAATATGAGCCAATATTTTGTTTTATATACAGCCGGCATGATTTAACCAACCATTAAGCGGCCAAAAGATTGCAAAGGATCTTGGGCCACTAAGACCCTTTGTCGAGCCCCACGCACTTTATTTAAAACACACTTGTTTGTTATTCATACCCCTTTCCCACTGGCAAAAAAAACTGTTTAAACCAAAGAAAAACCGGCTTTAAGTCGCAGTGGGAACAGCTCAGTCACAGCTTAAACGACTCGGCGCGGGTGAAAATGGCCTTCAAATGGCTCGGCTCTGATAGAACGCAACGAACGTACGTCACAACGATGACATAAAAAGCCAAATCAACTTTGCTTACATTCGATAAACATGGCTGACCACTGACTGCCCTGGCTCCCTTCCATTTAGCTCTACATTGTTTACTTTCCTGATTTCCGTCCCACTGATAACATCGTCAATGCTAACCCAGCGTTTACTAAAGTAACAGTAGGGATATTTTATTAAGATATTCATCAAGAAAAAAATTTAAGTGTTGTGCAATAAAACTACTTCTAAATTATATTTTTGTCAAAATTACTCAAGTACTCAAGTAACTAGAACTAGGCATTACCCAATTTGCTTCCAACTGAACAGAAACTCTCAACAGAACCAGATAAGTACAAATCAATGTGTAAAAAAGGTTCATCCAAAGATCATAATCAAAATGTTCATGAGCTCTGTGGCAAGATTCTCTCCATCCGATCTCTAGCTGTGCGAAAGTGATAGAAACTATCAATATTTATTCATATTCTCTCTGATGGGAAAATGCATTGCTTCATTTAGACTTTTGGAAAGTTTAGACTCAGTAAAGCTTTGGAAAGTTTCTTGTCCTTCTTATTAGAACTATCTGCAGTTTTAACAGCCAATCTGCTCTCTACTGTTGCTAATTGATATCATTCACTAATCATATCTTGTGTTTCCAATACGTGTGGGCTTGATACACAAACTGGTTTTTACTCTCTGCTCAGATAACAAGCATCCATAAATCCATCTAAAAGTGCAGTTAGCTCAACATAATTGTGTTTCTTTCACAGCAGGTTATCAATAAGAGAAACCCCACAGGATTAGCCATATTAAAAAACACATTTACCTTTACTTGCTGTAAAAGTGTATTTAGCTGTAGTGTGAACTGAGCATACAGTAGTAAACACAAAGGCTCCAAACTTTTTAAAAGCAAAAGAACACATTTCTTCCACTTTACAAATATATGCCACTTGTGATTGTTTAACCCCTTAAAAGCCCAATAAACTGTACTTTGGGTTATGGTATAAAAGCAGAGGGGTTAGACGAATATTAAATTGTTTACTTCTGAACATAAGAAAAAGAAAATTAGTGACAAATTTACCTTGTCTCCTTTATCTCCAGGACCTCCAGGAGGTCCTTGATCCCCTTTTACACCCTGTAGAGAAACAGAAAAATACACAATGGATCCTTCTTAAAGTTGAAATCTCTGAAAAAGAATCGGTTTCTAAGTTAAGCTTTGATCTGTATCTTTATAGCATGTCATCCAATTATATGTTTCTAAATTCAGCCTTTCTATGGGGTGAACTTTGTTCCTATTATTGTTGCAAAGAACTTTTCGTAAAGGAAAATTTGAAAGAAATGCAATCCAGAAATGATGCTTTAATAAACATCTTAATAAATACTTTTGAAAGTAACTTTGCTGTTTTCTCAGATTTGATGTTAAGTTATTAAACTTTGTTTTTACCTTATTTACGGATACTATTGTTTAACATTTTATTATTATTTTTTTTATATCTCTTTTACAGATATTTTTGGGAATTGTAACTGATGCCATAAGGTGTCCGGGCTGCAGGCGCGCCACACTGAGCAGCATTGGGTAGAAGCATTTCATCGATCACTTTTTCTTCACTTCAAGCTCGATATAAAAGCTGGCTCTCGACCAATAGAAAGGCTGTTGCTAATGTTCACTCAGACCAATAGCAACGCGTCTTTCATTCCTCACTCCAAAGCAAAAGCCCGCCCTCAGAAGAGAAGAGAAAGTGATCTGGAAAACGCAGTTTGAGAAAGACAAATTTTGAAATATGAAATTTGAAAAAATATGATGAAAAAGAGAATATAAGAAAAATTTAAAAATTAAATCTGAGAAAACAGCAAAGTTCACCTCATAATCTTTTTTTTTCTTATTTGGAAGTTTTTTATTCTTTCATTTCTGAAATGCATACTTCAACAGAACATGTTCTTTGCTTGAAACAACAATGTCACAAAATTTCCTCCATACATTTAAAATAAACAGGACAAACTGATTAGATGCTCCCACTGGAGCCCTGCAACTAAAGTCCCCGTTTAAACATACCTTTGTTCCATCAGCTCCAGGAGGCCCTTGAGGTCCGGATGGTCCAGGCGGTCCCTGTAATGGCAAAGCAAACCATCAGTCTCTGCCGAGACAGACAGAGCAGAGCACCACTTGGGTCCTAATAGTTTTCTATTGCCCCCATGAGAGGCGCAGCTAATGATGCAAACAGAACCTCACCATCCATCACTGCTTGTGTGACTGATGATGCCGGAGCTCCGACCTCATTTGTCACAAAGGCCGAATTTAGTGAAGACGCACTTTATAACACTCTCTTAAAGACGTGCAAAGGTACTATCACTGGTCAAAAGCTGCTATAATTGACTAAAAAACTGCAGAGGTCTTTAGAACTGGGAGACTATGATAATAGATTTGTCTTACTGGATATCCGTCTTGGCCATTTTTCCCAGCAGGTCCTTGGTGTCCTTTATCTCCAGGGAGTCCTGGCAGTCCAGGTGGTCCAGGAGGACCTGCAGGGCAGTCTGAGCAAATATCCTAAACATGGTGCAAATAGCTTCGTTATGAAGTGCTCAGCTGTTTGAATTCTTCTCTCTCTACTGTGGCGGAAAGTCTTCCTACCTTCAGGTTCAGGTCAGAAAGGTCTGCTGCTTTTCCCTGGAAGAAAGCAGAAGAAAAGCATCACTTAAACAAGATTAGAGGCTGAGTTAAGTGGGAATATTTAAACTTTATTCTCTGGAAGATCATTAAATATTTCTTATAAAAGGAGAAAAATTGTAGATTTATTGATAACAGTCAGTCAGCTGGTTCAAGACCAGAGGAGTAACAAAGTACAAATACTTCGTTACCCTACTTAGAAATTTATAAATCTATATTTTACTGGAGTAATTATTTTTGAACCAAACGTTTTCTTCTATTCCTTATTTATTGTTTTATTGTTGCAATTATCTCTACTTTCTTCTCTTTACATTCTAAAAATAGAACTGTTAGTTTTGTTTCATTGAAGCTCATTTTCGTTATGGCCTGATGGTATTTAATAAAAATAAAAACCATTAAAGTAATTAGTTTCATCCAGTCTCAGTAAGGCACCACATACCAAAATAAATGTTTTTCAAGATGACTGTTTTACGAAGGAGTATTAAGACAAGGCTAGAGTTTTTATAATAAAGTAATAAAATTACGAGAATAAAGTCGTAATATTAAAAGAATAAAGTCCTAAAAATAATGAAATTATAACATAAAGTTGTACTTTATGACAACTCCTACAAGAAGCACTTACTTCCCTAAAAAGATAAATGTTGAGCATTATGTGAAGTTATACTTTGGCTCTGCTTTAACAAGTAAAGAAATAATTTAGCACCAGCATCAAATTGGGTAAAATGTCAAAGTGGACTGAGGTTGCTGATTGGTGGAGCTGGTCCGCCGTCATCTGCTGGTCGGAGCGTAAAGCTTTCTTTCCGAAACTGGTTGTTGTATGATGACTTCATTCTTGTAATATTACAACTTTATTCTTGTAATATTATGACTTTATTCTCAAATAAAATATAAAAAAATCTCTAGCCTGGCCCTTATACTCCGTCTTACTGTTGCCTTTAATTATAAAACTAAGAAAACTAATTCTAAGGAAGTTATCATCCAGAATTGTGGTAAAATGTTCCTTTATTAAAGTAGTGCAGTAAAGTTTAAAGCATCTTTCCTTGACATTTTACCTGCATTACCTAAAGTAGTTTTAAAAATGGTTCTTTTACACTTTTATTGGAGTAAAAAGCTTAAATTAATACTCTAACATCTAGAAAAGTGTTTTGAAACAGTAGGATTTCTGCTTCTACTGGAGTAATACATTTGAATACTTTTGATACCTGTGTTTAGCACCAACCAAGTGAGGAGAAATTACGACAGAGAAGCAGGTAAAATCAAACCGACAGCTTCAGTGTTGTCAAAATGTGTTCAAATACAAAAGGCTTTTACTTTTAATTTTGTTTTGTCACCTTTCAATGTTTGAGATGATCAAGCAAATGTATTAAAGAAGACTTATACATATATAAAAATTTAGTTTTTAAGTAAGAATGTTATTGATTAAGGGCAGGGATGATTAAAAAACATGGAAAACAACAACAGAAACAACCTGGGACAGAAGGGAAACAGTTACTGACATCACTTCATGGAGTGACATCCATGAGTTTACCGTATTAACAGGAGAAGCGGCGCAGATGAAGTTAGACACTGTCATCAGACAACTAATTTATAAATGTTTTAAATCAGGTTGGGTCTGGATTAGCCAGCAGGTGGGTCCGGATCCGGTCCCCGGTCCGCTAATCTGTGACCTCTGACCTAACTGTTTTCTTTTTATATCCCTATAAAGCCCTGAGCAAACGTATGAAGGCAATACCTCCTCTCATTTCCCATGAGATGATCTGTGCAAACAGGTCATTTTTTCTTTGTTAGTGTTTCGGCTGAGATAATCCACCTGCCACACAGGAGGAGCCTATCAAGATGCTGATCGGTCAACATGATTATTGCATGGGTCTGCCACACAGCATCACAATGAAAGTCTTCACAGATCTCAGCATTTTTGTTTTACTGTTGCAGAAACATTAAGAATTTTAAAACCTGTAATCATTAAAGCAATATCTTATAGACCTGTTATATTCCACATGTTAACAGGATGTCGAATGTCTGATGTCAAATAAGCATGTTGCCTCCAATTTAAATAAAGAAGATCACCAGGCATCCTCTATATACTGATCTACTCAGTGTTGTATATCTGTGGGGGGGACTGGGAACAGACACCACTGTATTACAGAAAAAAGGTATTTGCATTGAACCACATGATCAGGAACCCAGAAAGAAGGAAAGAAAAAAAAAACACTTATCTAGTTCAGCTTAAGCTCCTTCTGGTGAGCTACTGAGGAACTTGTACTTTATTTGTTGGACTTTGTTAAACAAGTAATTCTGTAAAAGTTTAAAAAACAATCCACTGGACTTGGTTTCCAAGATTTGAAGACGTTTCGCTACGTCTACAGGAAGCTTTCTCAATTAAAATGTCTGGATCCGCAGTAAGACCCTCTCTTTGGTCACCATTTGCATGTTTCCAAACAATACAAGGCCTTGTCTATTTAAAGACTCAAACTCACTGCGGATCCAGACATTTAAATTGAGAAAGCTTCCTGGAGTGTTAAGAACCTCAGGCTTGCCCTCCAGAGGGCGCCGAGGATCCTCTTCTGCTCTGTGTTTTTCCCTTAGGGTTGAGTTACTGTGGGGATCTGGAGACTACCCTCTGTCTCCAGCAGAGTGCGCCGTGGGTCTTCTGGAGCTGGAACCTTCCTGCACACCTGTTGCTAATCCTCTCATCAGAAGACCTCTCCTATATAAGCTGACTTCAGACCTGGATTCCACGCCGCAGTGTTGATCTTAGTTGGTTAGCTTCCTGAGCCTCTTTGACAGAAGAATCTTTGTTATCTCTAGTGTGAGATCAGTTTCTAACTCTTCCTTGTTTCTGCCTCACAGGAATCCTGTTTCTTCGTGAAAGCTCTGGATGAGCTTAACCTCCTGTCTCTTCGTGAAACTCTGGAAGGGCTGTCTCTCTGGCAACCTGTCTCTAGCCTGAAGCTCAAGGAGAGCTAACCTGCTAAACTGCCCTGGTGAGCCAACCTGAAGATTCCTACGTGGTTGAAACCTGACGGCTTCTATGTGGAGTTTCCCTAGAGGTTCCCACGTGGATTTTCCCCTGTTGTTCCCTGCTAGAGCTGGAAGCTCAGCCTGAGAAATCCTTCGTGTTTCCCCTGATGTTCTCTGCTGTGAGCTGGAAGCTCAAATCCAGGACTGCCAGGCTAAGCCTGAAGCTAATGCTTAGCCTCACATGAACTCAGCTACCAGCCATCTCCCTTTCCCTGCACAGACCCCAGGGAACCAGCCCCCTGCCTGTATTGTTCCAGTATTATCCATGTGCTTTGTCTTTAAATAAACCCTTTGGACTTTTACCAGTGCCTCTGTGTGTGTTCTGCATCTTGGGCTTTACTCTAGAAACCCCATCATGACAGAACACTGCGGCCTGGAATCAAGGTCTGAAGTCAGCTTATATAGGAGAGGTCTTCTGATGACAGGATTAGCAACAGGTGTGCAGGAAGGTTCCAGCTCCAGAAGACCCACGGCGCACTCTGCTGGAGGCAGAGGGTAGTCTCCAGATCCCCACAGTAACTCAACCCTAAGGGAAAAACACAGAGAAGAAGAGGATCCTCGGCGCCCTCTGGAGGGCAAGCCTGAGGATCCTAACATGGAGAGGTGGAGAAACGTCTTCATATCTTGGAAACCAAGTCCAGTGGATTGTTTTTTAAACTTTTACGGAATGACTATGACCTGGATGACTGAGAATCTTCATCAGCTTAAACAAGTAATAAGAGCAGATCTCAGGAATATAGGTGTCGGTCATCCAACCTTTAATTAAATTCACTTCAATTCAGTTTATTTCTTTAGCGCTAATTTACATAACATGTCATCTCAAGGCACTTTATAGTTCACCAGATCATACAGTCAGATTGATTCAAAGTTTTCTATCTAAGGTAAACCAGTTGATTGCGTCGAATCATTGACTCAAAGGCAATCCCTCACACTAAGCATGCTTGTAGCGACAGTGGAGAGAAAAAACTCCCTTTTAACAGGAAGAAACCTCCAGCAGAACCAGGCTCAGTGTGAGCGGCCATCTGCTGAGGCTGACTGGGGTTCAAGGAGACAGAAGCAGAGATACAAGTATGGTGAATATTTGAATCTTACAGTTATTTTAAGTTGTTGAACAATAGGAGCTGAAAATATTATAAACAAACAATAATAAGGCTTGGATAAGAAAGAGAGTGCCGAAATATTTACAATGTGTTTTAGTGGAGCAGTGACTGCTGGGCTAGAGAGGAGTCTGCATGAGGGAGAGTCTGGATGATAACCTAAGAGAGCTTTCAGACCTCAGACCCTTTTAAAACTATCAGATACATGTCTGATTTTATGCTATATATGAAAGCAACACAATTACAAGTGAAACATATCGGAACTGGGGCTTTCTGATGGACAATTCTGATACGAGTCACAAATGGGCAACAAGTTGGATTTGGGTTGTGTTTGAAAGCAGTCTAAAAGCAGCCATTGGGTAACAAAACAAGACCATGATCTCGTGCCAAACATATTTTTCCTCCTGACAGCCGCTCACACAGGTTAACTCAAGAAATTTAGCAGAAACTGTCTCAGAAACTCCATGCTTGTCTTCCTTTTTACAGTAGTCGCCATTTAAAATTTCCCCTTGGCTGGTCCTTAACTGGTCCCCTACAATTCCTTTTTGAAACATCACTCTTTGTACTAAAATATTGTTTCTGTCATAGTTTGTGGCCAATAAGATCTAAAGAGAAGCAGCATCTCCTGGTCAGCTTTATCTTTTGTCTACTTGGTTGCAGCATAGGGCAAATGAACCGTCCTGATGCCAAGACTTTAGCGTCGAGCAATTGGATGGAGATCCTCAGGAATTTGAGAGGCTCCATCTTACCATCACTTGGCCACCCCTTTAATCAAGTCCAACTGCATGTCTAACTCTAGGTTTTGTTTCTAGCCTACAGCACACCTCTGCAATAATCATGCTGTCTAATCAGCAAAGTGACACACCATACCTGAGAGGTGGAAGCATTTTCTTGGCAAAGGAAATGTGCTAACTTTAAAAAGCTCTGTAAATAATGTTTGAGAGCGACAGACCTTCTTTGAACTCTGAAAGTGTTTTAGCATTTGGGTCCAGTTCATAGAAAATGGGAACCTAACAAAGTAAGTTAAGTATACTATTTCTAACTAAATCCTGTGCTTTTTGGAAGCCATTTAGTTGTTAATCCACTTTAAAGAGTTCTAATCCAGAAGTAACCCTCTTTTGCAAGAAAAAAATTAAGTTAAGATATGGGAAAATTAAATTTGCTTTTCTTACCCTGATCATAGGAATATATACCCTTTGCAAGGACAAATCTAAAAGATACTTTTAACTAACAAAGAACTATTGGGTTCATGCAGAAAAAAGGGGATAAACATGCATACTTACAGGCTCTCCTTGTGATCCTTTTTCTCCTGGCCTTCCTGGTAAACCCTAAGTTTGGAGCAGAACCAACACAGTCTGAATTTTATTTGTGTGTTAAACACAAACCATCCACCGAATTTAATAGAATAACGTTGTAAAAATTGGACATATTATTTTCAAATGAAAGGTGACATTTTTGGAATGAAAGTAAACTTTCTGAGTCACTATTTGGAATTAAACTTACGTTGTGGCCTGCTGGGCCTTGGGGACCTGCAACCCCCGGAAGACCTCTCAGTCCCTGAAATTCAGATACACACAAACTGAAGAAAGAGGACAAAAAACCAGACATATTATCTAAACCATTGTGTATATGAATACCGCAGGTCCTGGCTCCCCATTTTTTCCTGGAGGCCCCTGAAGAAACAAACAGTAACATTTAGATATCTGCAGTCCAATGAAGTGAAACTGGATTAGTTTGGCTCAAATGTCGGTTCTCACTGGAGGTCCCTCTTTTCCCTCCCCTTGGGGGCCCCTGTCCCCGGGTAACCCTGGCTGTCCACGTGGCCCTGGTGAGCCCTGGGGGGAAAAAAGTGATGTTTGGTTAGCGATGATTAAAGCTAAACATTGTACATTCGACCTGTTACTCATGACAAAACCATCAAGTCCTCACTGTCAGAATCAACACAGAGGTCAAAAAGCATTGTACTCCCACATATTATTAACCTGACTCCGCCAGATGGATTTGCTCCGCATATCCATCTGGAAACCTTCCGTAGAAAAAATTTTGGGAAGGGGCGAAAATACTGGTTAGCTGATTGGCCTATGTTGGTGATAGACGGGCCAATTAAACCAATCAGATCAACGAAGCATATGACGTAACAGAGCGACGACGAAGAGGAGCCAATTGATAGATGGAACTCTTGCCGAAACCAGTCGGGAGAAGAGCAAAAACATATTTTCCTCTGAGAAAAGCCTCCAGAGCAGTGTTTTGCTCTTCTTTCAGTGAAGAAATACTCTGTAATTCCGATAAAACTTGCTCGATAGCCACGCTAACGCTAGTTTCATCGGCTGAAGCCGCCATGTTCTTTAGACTGAACTGTCGCGCTTCTCTTTGCGTCACACCTCAACCCGCCTCAAAGCCAACGCTGATTGGACGTTCGTTTGGTGAACGGCTCCAAATTTTCTTCAACGGAGAGTCCCCAGACTGATCTGCGAGTGAAACCTTGATAGCTCGCGAGATCAGGATGGTCTCACGAGGCTAGCATATTATTGCTGTTTAGACATTAATTTAAAGTTTTTTAAGAAATGCACTGAGATATTTGCCAGACTGTCTCTATCAAGAGACATGCAAGTTAGATGTTTACATGGCCTAATTTACTTGGGAATCAATATGACATCTAGCGCCAGGGCTACGGGCCCTTGTCACACCTGGCTGATTTAGCCAGCATATGCCCAAATTCCTACAATCTTCTGACGCTGAACTTTCTATGTATTAATTTCAATTTTGGGCGTATACATAGAGTATTCATAACGAGTCCAGAACTTATGTCCAAAGGCAGCCAAACTTATGTATAACGCCTGGCAGCCTAACGCCCATGAAATGATGTACAAGCATCATTTCATGGGCGTTACGAAGCATCAGTTAAAGCTGCTCCCCTCAGTTGCATCGCGGAGCAGCAAATCGCCCAGAGGAGTTTGGCCTGCATAAAAGGATTCCTTTGGTCGTGGTATTAGCCTAGCTGATGTTTATACATCTGGCAAAAAATAAAAAAATAAATAAAAAGAAAAAAAAGAAAGTTTTGGCAGCTGCAGCAGACTCAGCGTCATGTGTGCTTAGAAGTTTGTTGGTCGTGGGCGTCAACCAGGGAGTGTCCATCACACTCACCTTCTGGCTCACCCTATGATGGGCATGAAGTCTGGAGGAGAGACAGTTCCCTCCTGTGAACCCCATTTATACCAAAAACACTGCTAATATGCTTTTAAACAGTAGCTGGAAGTTAGAAACATGTTCAGCGGTCGTCTGGAATGCGTCAGATGTGTCGATGTGCATTGGAGATAAGTTACGCATAAGTTGCTCATAGGTTTTGGACAACCTAGACGCCACAACTTATTAGTAACTTACATTTAACGTATGTCAACAATCAGATAACTTACCTGGAACTTATGGCCCACATATGAGCATACGCTGGCATACATCAGCTTACGTATTTGCCGTATGTCAATGTCTGCCAGTGTGTTTCAGCGTGCTCATAACTTATACAAAATATACCCATAACTTATCCAAGGTATGCCAGCTTTTTTGCCAAATTTTTTGTACGTCAGGCATACATTGTCTAAATCGCCAAGGTGGGGCAGGGGCTTAAAACAGATTTAGACCAGTTCCCAGGTGTCAGGCAGAAAGTTGTTAAAGGAATAGTACACCCAAAACATGATTAGCCTTCATTTTCTACTCACCCCCATGCTGAACAACACTCTGGAGTACTTTTTTGATATCTCAAATGCATCTGGAGATCTGGGAGGCTTCTTGCTGTCTGCTGACATTCAAATAATGGAGGTCCATGGCGCCCGAGGCAGAAAGGTCCATAAAAGTCCACAAAAAAACGTGTCAATATTCCTCCATACTGCTCGTCCAATGTATTCCAAGTGTCCTGAGTGGGTAGCGTCCATAATTTACTCGAAACAAAGTCATTTAGAATGTTTTTAGAGCATAAACAGTAGTGTATAGGATTTCCTGAAAGCGCGTGCCCGCGCGTTCACGAGTCTACGGAAACCGCGGCAGACCAAACCAGATGAAAGTGCGCATTCAGCTCAGCAAAGAACTCATGCTCTTCCTCAACACTGAAGTCCTCAGACATTTTTCTTTCGTTGTTTCTTTCTTTGCACAGGTAAACAGCACATTTCTTCTTCTACACTTGCATTATCGGCAGAGCAGACGCTGAATGCGCACTTTCATCTGGTTGGTGTGCCGGCTTCCGAAGCGTCGTGAACGTGCGGGCACGCGCTTTCAGGAAATCCTATACACTACTGTTTATGCTCTAAAAACATTCTAAATGACTTCGTTTCGAGTAAATTCTGGATGCTACCCCCTCAGGACACTTGGAATACATTGGACGAGCAGTATGGAGGAATATTGACACGTTTTTTGTGGACTTTTATGGACCTTTCTGCCTCGGGCGCCATAGACCTCCATTATTTGAATGTCAGCAGACAGCAAGAAGCCTCCCAGATCTCCAGATGCATTTGAGATATCAAAAAAGTACTCCAGAGTGTTGTTCAGCATGGGGGTGAGTAGAAAGCTGTCAGGTCTTAGAGTGAGAATTATGAGGTCTCGGGGATTAACCCGTTCTCAGGTCTCATGAAAGAAGTGCTCAGGTCTCAAAAAACAAAATCCCTCATGATTTGTTGAATAATTTTTCTGAGACCTGAGAAGTTTTTTGACACCTAAGACCTGATGGCTTTTTCCCAAGAGCCTGATATTTAAATTCCTGAAATCTATATCAATTGACTCCAAAGTGTTTTGGAATGACAAATTATTGGAATTTAGAACTTCATAAATAAACTAAATCAAACTGACAAGAGTAGAAAATAATAACTAAGAGTAAGCTATTAAATCCATATACCTTTGTTCCGGGTATTCCTTGAATCCCTGGTGGTCCTGGCTCTCCCTGCAAGGTCACAAAGAAAAACAATCAAACTATTTGAACACAAAGTGAAACTCTTTTAAATCATTAATTAATTTTTGCCCTGCATTCCTCCTGGTGGCACCTGGTTACTGTAAAACACCAGAACTGCTGGTAGAAGCATTTGCTGTGCTCGTGTGCTGCTTTAATGTGATATGTCTAAACAATGTCTTTCCTGTTTGCGCCTGCATTGTCAGCAGGGCAGACACATGTCTGCTGGGGAAAGATGATGAACAAACATGTTTAGGTGTTTAACAAAATCTGCAAGGCAGGCTATTTTTCTTCACAGACAGATGTTTGTGTTACTGTGTGGCTCAACAAGCTCACTGTTGCTTACTGGGAGAAAAGACGTGGAATATGAACGGTTCAGAAAACCAGCAGGGAATATTGCCCATTGACATTTTGGCTTAATTGACAAATGATTGATGTTCAGGTATTTAATTTACTTTAGGGCTGCAACTAACGATTATTTTAACAATCGATGAATCGGCCGATTATTTTTTCGATTAATCGATGAATCGGACAAAATATATTTTTTATATTAACCTCTTTATTCCAAAATAAACATTTTAGACAGAACAAACAAGCACACAAGTACAGGTTGCTCATTAACTGTACTGGTGCTATATGAAAAATAAATGTTTGTGTTAAAACTACGCAAACTTACATGAGAAATGTAGCTGTACATCCACAAAATATAGGGTACTTTGTTTCATAAAGTGCAAAAAAAGACATTTTTGTTTTTTAAAGCCCCTAAGGGGCTCAAACAATAGGCCCCCCCATTTCAACAAATTAGTTTTTTTTAGACTAGAAGATTTCTGCCTTTTAAGACAGGAAAGTATAGCAGTTAAAGTTGCTACTTGAGAAAATACTGAACCATAGAGATAAAAATAGCCCTGTGATTCAAATTATAAATTGTATTTGGAATAAAAATGAGAGAACTAGGGGTGCTAAAAAACACATCCTCCAAAGACAGATATTTATATAGGAATGTGGCATATAATTAATTGACATATTACTGATCTTGCTGGATTTTATTCTGCTTTACTTCCATAAATTGCAGGATCTTCTTTACTTTATCTTTGCCAGAAGATTTAAACTTTAAAAGCCTTGCCCTCATAATTTGCAAGTTAATTTATTTATTAAGTAAATATAAACGCTGCTTAAGCTAATTCAAATGAAATTAAAAGTAAAATAAGTAGCCAACCTTATCACTGTCTGTAACCTAGTAACACGGTGAGGAAAGCATCAGATGAGCTACCTGAGAAACTAACGTTACGTTTTCCCACTTTAAAACCAAACAAACATGGTGCTTCCGTGCCATGTTCATTTGTTTTTACAAAAGTTGCATGTTACGACTTTTCTCGCTTTACAAAGCGCAGGCTATTTTAATTATTGTGATCAATTTGCGCCGTCAATCCCGGTGCATGCGCGCTTCATTTGCAGCCTGGACGCTGAGGGTAAACATCCTGCGGCTCTGACTGCAGCGCTGAGAGGGACTCCTGCGGGAGAACGGGGTTGGGATGGGGGAGGCGCCCCACGACAGAGTAGGAACGATACATGCTTTCACGTAAGAGTCTCCAAAAGCCGCCAGTGACACCGTAAAAAGTCGCCAGATTTGTCGCTAGTCGCTTTTTTGAAAAATAGTCGCTGGAGGGGTCTGAAAAGGCGCTGAGTTGGCAACACTGCACCTGCGGTGCTGGCTCGCTTCGCCGTATTTTTTTTTCTTCCCCCGTTTCAGTCAAGTGGATGTGATGACGGCGGCCGCGGATGACGCATTAATCGCGCGACACAACTAATCGATGATAAAATTCGTTGCCAAAGCTTTTAAAAATCGAATTTTATCGATTCGTTGTTACAGCCCTAATTTACTTAGTCATAGCTTAGATCCCTGTCATGGCTGCCTTAAGTAGTTAGTCATTTGGAAATAATCCTTTTAACTTTAAAAAAAGAGCGAACTTAATATCTTAACTTGCAAATTTGCTAAATTCTAAACATTTCCTGCCAGAATTTGAACCTGGCAGGTTAAAATTCGGAATTTGGCGGGAAATTCTAAACCTTTCCTGCCAAATTCTAGCAGAGACAAACAACCATTCACACTCTCACACCTAAGGACAATTTAGAGAAGCCAATTAACCTAACAGTCATGTTTTTGGACTGTGGGAGGAAGCTAGAGTACCCGGAGAGAACCCACGCATGCTCAGGGAGAACTACATGCAGAAAGACCCCAGGCTAGGAATCAAACCCGGAGCCTTCTTGCTGCAAGGCGGCAGTGCTACCCACTGCGCCACTGAGCAGCCCAACTTATTTCATGAAATGTTACTTTGTGCATAATCTAGACTAGCATGCTTCTACCTACTCCATATTTGCGTCTGCATCAAAACACTATATAAAAAAAAAAAGCTAGATGACTCTGCAAAACTGAGGCAGCTCAAATACAGCAAACATCCTCTGAGATCTGGAACTGAGTCAAAAATGAGGATGAGGAGGATCCATAAAAATGTCAGTCATGAGCTGCAGAGGATGTCGACCTAAAATATCATTAGTGTAAAGGCAGCAGAATTATAAAGTAAATTTAAGTCCATCTGACAGCTCATACAGTAGCTTGTACAGGAACTGGCAATATTCCAACCTCTGCATAGAACCCAAAAAAAGGACTTAATTAACTTAATGTTTTGAAATTACATTTTGCTAAAGATTATGGAAAACCTAAGGCTGCAAACAGATTTAGTTAGTTTCAAAACCTATCAAATTTTCTGTCACGGTTTCAGTGATTTAAATGTTTTACTGTGTGATGCCAGAGAAATTGATGGAGAAAACACCTTTTTAAAAAAGTTTTATGTTATGCAAATTACACAGTGCTAATAGCCTAGACATCCACCTCAGAAACTCCAGGCAAAGTCAAAGAATGATTCATGGAAAGACTTTTCACAAAGGTTTTGAAACTACACTGAAATATGGTTTCTTAAAAATAAATAAAAGAATTAATAAAAAAAAAAAAAGAAGAAAAGAACCTTACGTTTTGGCCATCTCTGCCCTTCCCAGGCGGTCCAGGAGGTCCAATCAAACCAGGCTCTCCAGGTGGACCTTGGGGGCCAGATTGTCCTGGTTTACCTGGTTCACCCTAAAATAAAAAATGGGATAAAAATAAGAACCATCACTGCTGTCTTTAACTGCATTGTTTGCACTTTTTACAACTAATTCCTTTAAATCAGAATTAAAACATTCATAGATGACATATACCGCACCAGATAGTTGTTTATGATGTACAGGTTTAAATGTCACACTAGAAGCTGGAGGCAAAATTACGGCATTTAAAAACAAAAAGAGTGACTAAACTCTGGATATCCTGAAAATCCCTTACTGCTGCATCTGTATTTAAACAAATTCAGAGACTGGAAGAGAGAAGACAAGCAAGGACACCGACTGCTCTGAGAAAGCCCACTGCATTATGGGTTGCTAAAAACACATCCAACCCAACAAAAGTATAACTTTAAAGGTCACAGTTAAGACTTCTTTGTCATAAATATTTTCCTAAAAATAACACATCCACAGAACATCAGGGGTGTAATAGAAAAATGTATACATTTTAATGACAAACATATTGAAAATAAAGTGTTAAGTTTATCATTTCTAAATCACTAAGACACTGAGCCAATCACAGCAGACCTGTGAGATCAGAAAGAATAAAAACAATCACAAATAGAGCATGGAGCTGTGCTGGATTGTTTGTTTCTGCTCCTGCAGCAGCCTACCATGTGCTATCTATGGAAAAATTGCAACAATTGTTTCAAAGGACACTGATGTTTGATTGGACAAATATAATCAAAATACAAGTCTTACATTTGTCACGGACTTTATTATTAAAATGCAGAATGTTTATTGAATAAAGCTGGCTTGCACATGTCCAGCATCAAGCAGGCTGACACATTTGTGATGGCGCTCATAAAGATTAGATGCTAGGAGGGTCCAAAAGGAAATTTTGAGAAAATGCATATATATAGGCTTGTTTTTAAAATTTTCATAGTTTGGGCCGGATCTATCAAAGGTTTGTGTGTATAAAAACGTGAGCTATTTCACTGCGCACGCTAAAAAATGTACAAACTGATCTATCAACAGCGTGCTAAAAGGATTTGGTCTTTAAAACGTGCTAAATAGCGCCTCTTATCCATTTAGTACTTTTTCTGCAATGAATATGCAATATGGGGCGTTTACACGCTAAAGTGCGTCTTGTGGGAGGAGAACATGTAAATATATTAATTTAGCACTCGCAAAGTGATTTATTAAACCTGAAAGCAATTTTGCTAACAGTATCTGACTCTATATTTAACACGTTTCAAAAGAAGGTGCAAATGGTCTGTATGCGTAATTGCGCACACATGGCAGCGGTTATTGTCGCAAGAAGGAGACATGGAAATGAAGCAAGGAGACGCAGAGAACGCATTTTTTCACTCCGTGTGAATATTTGTGGAATGAACGAGGAAACGATCATCAAAACACAGTTTATCCAGCATTGCCATTTTGGAGCTGTTGGGGGAAATCCGAATGGATTTGGAGCCAGCCACAAGGAGGACCCACGCAATACCAGATATCACCAAACTCCTTGCAACATTGCACTTTTTTGCATCTGGGTCATTCCAGCGTACGGTTGCAGCGAGAGCTGGGATCTCCCAATCTCGTTTTTCAGAAGTGCTGTCCGAAGTGCTGTCCGACGGGGTCGGGGTTCTCCCCATGCACCTGTGGAGCAACGTGCCAATGCTGCGGGGATGCTCACTTCTTGTGAGCCATTTGGTATGTGCATTTTTCTACAGGCCAATACAATACAAAACACCTGGTTTTTGCCCGTTTTGAAGGACGGGTCAAGTGAATCCTGTATAACCTTGGGAATCCCATGATTCATTGCGAGTCCAAGCAAGCCAGCTGCTCCGTGTTTAGAGGAAAAAGGTCAATGGTGCCACACAGTGGTGAATATTGGAAGTGCAGTTTAATATAATACAAATATGTGAATAGTTCTGTCTGAAATTAATGAAAATAGTTGTTGTAAATGGTTATTGACTCAGATATATGGCGGCTAAGGTTTAGTTTATTGAAAGGTTTTTATTTGTCCCTGCGTAAATGGCTTTGGCTGACATTTAGGCACAGGTTCAGTCATTCATGACGACTGTACTGCTGCTCAAGCTCCTAGAAAATTTTATTAAAACCCAAAACAGATGTTAGTAGTTTGGTATTCATTCTTTGCATGCTTTGTGTACCAACTGTCACTGTCGCAAGTAACAGAGCATACGACAGTTGGAAGCCTAAAGGGCAGGTTATTATCCTGTAGCAATGTGTCGCAATGTGCTTGTCGCAGCTTTGACGTAAATACTTTTGATTTATGCCCAATTTTGAAGCCTGGTCTGCACTATGTTATTCCACGCCATAACGGAAGAGGGACAATCACAAACTAGCTGTGGGTCTAGATACGGCCGAGGCGGTGAGGAAGTGGGGGCAAGTTTGTGCAACAACTGAGGGACATGAGGGGGAAGAAGAGCGGGGATCCAGGTGGAGAAAAGGGTCCAAGCATTCTCGCGCACCTCGCTCTTCTAGCTGGTCCACCTTCACGAGTCGTTTTCCATAATGGCGGTCATACAAACAAAAAAAGTCGGTAAGGTACCAAACAGGAAATATGCATAGTGTAGAGCAGACGTTGATTTGACCAATCAGAGGCCTCCTGTCTGCAGCACTGTCTGAGGTCACTTACACAGCCACTGAAATCCAACAGACCCATGGATTTGGCTAGTAAACATAGAACCAGAACGGGCGAGTGCACCACCCAGTGGTAGGGAGGGGATCACTTTTTTTAGCCATCTCTTTTAAAACAAATAGACTCACCTTATCTCCTCTTTGTCCTGCTGGACCAGGAGGTCCGATTATGCCTGGAATGCCCTATAAATAAATTTAAACTGTTGGTATTTAAACTGAACTAATCAAGTGTATTAAGATGATATTAGATTTGCAGCTAATGTTAAAACGTATTTTACCGCATTTCCTGGTGGTCCACGAAGCCCCTGAGGTCCTGCTGGACCAGGTTGACCCTAGGAAAAACATACAAGACTTTCAAAGCTTAATGACAGCGTACTTCATTTCTTGCTGTAGAATGGTTACTTTTCACCAGCCAAAGGAACTTACAGGGTCTCCTACACGACCAGTCTCCCCTGTGGGTCCCGCATCTCCCTTTGGGCCCTAAAAAGGCAGCTGATTAGAAAAATGTCACATAAAAAGATGGAGTTGTATAAAGAAATGTAATAGTGTTCTTACAGGTGCTCCTACTGGCCCTTGGAAACCTTGTTCACCAGGTACGCCTCTTTGGCCCTATTGTTGAGCAAAAACATCCTTTAAAAAATTATTTCAGCAGGTCACAAAAACTCGTAAGGCTTCAAATTAACATTGGAAAAGAATTCGGTTCTATTTTTTCTTCTCAGTCACATTTAAAAGTCAATATAAACTTTAATGTTACATAAAGATAACCTTGATTTATATGGCAGTTTTAGGATAATGATTTTATTTATAGAGAGAAAAAGAACAAAACCAATAAAGCCATACAACTAAAAGTAATCAGTCCCACACCAGATGGCTTCCTGTGCCACTAATGGTGACCAGAATATGCTTATAGAAAGCGGTTCTGGATTCCCAAAGCCACAGAAACATTTTTATTAATGCAAAATCTTCAACACCTCTTGACCTGGATGGCAAAACTGCTATCAAGCTTTGGATGCAACTAATGATTGTTGTTGATGTATTGATGTGCATATTTTGGAGCATTCATTTATTTTCTACCGCACTATATTTACCAGTTTCCATTATTTTAAATTTAGTGCTTTTTTTAGCCTTTGGAGACTAAAAAATGCTGACGACCTTTTACTAATCTGTTCTTGAATTTAATTTAAAGACATGATGAGTTGCTTTTTAGGATAATTTAGCTCACAATGTGGATAGAAAGGTTTAATTGAAATAATTTTGTGCAGCCTCCTACTGTCAAAATAATGCCACTGTCCACCATTAGAACCGTTCAACTGTATGTGGCAGGTAGGCCCTCCCAAAGGTTAAAGAACAGCAGCTGATAGGGTTTATGCCAATCAGGTGTCTTGGTGATTTCAGTGTAGCCAGTTAACAGGTTGAATTGTCAGGGTCAGGTAGTGATGGTGTCTGGGTGTTGCAAGCAACTTAGCTTTTCAAAAAGATGAATAAATGACATCAACGAAATTGAGCCAAGTTGTTTAAAAGGTATTTTTTTATGTTAATAAATGGGTTATGGTAAGTATAACATATTATTTACAAAACAATTGAAACATAAGTAATCCATAGATATATTTTTATACTTTGTATGCCTTTATCCACTTTGCATTAACAATAAATTAACCCACTTTAATTTATATAGCCTTTACATTACACAAACTGACCAAAGTGCTGTACAGAAAATCACCATTATATATATATATATAAAAAAAACAATAACAAAATAACAAATACTACACCGTGCTACTGAATGTTCAAAGCCAGTCTGAACCTGTATGCTTTAAATCTGGTCTAAACAGCATAGTGATCTGAATGTCAGGAGGTAATTTGTTCCAGAACCTGGACCCAGACTCAGAAGACCTTTTCATCCTCCTTGTGTTTGTACCTCACTCTGGTCTAGTTACTTCAAAAAGACTTGTTTAAATGACCTTAAGGTCTTAGTTGGGTTCTGAATGTACATGAGGCTCAAGAGTATTAAAGGCTTAAAAAAATAGCAACATTTTAGAATGAGTCCTAAAAGGACCTGGAAGCCTGTAAGAGAAACATGGGCTGTAATAAAGATGATCTGCTAAGCATTATCCATTTCCTTGACTGAATTAATTTGAAGGACTCTATTACAAAAACATTGATAATATGAAAGTGGTAAATGGACTTTTATTCTCATTTAAGTGCAGTAACTGGACTGAACATGATGTCCTAAATAGCTTTATGGTCCTATAGGACAGTCTCATAGCTGCTTTAGAAAATCTCTGCTGACATCTAGTGGTCATCTGAGCACATTACCAGATGTGCATTTAGTTGTTTTTGTTTTTTGTTTTTTGAAAAAGCTTTTAAGAAAAGCATCACCATCTCTCCTGGATTTCCTTGTTCTCCCTTTTCTCCTTTCTCTCCTGGCTTCCCCTGTAAGTGCAGGAAAAGACAAAGAGCTCAGGAATAAAGACAAGATGCTGAGGTAAGCAGATAATTTAGAAAGCACTGCCTTATTACCAATAAAACATTCAGAAAAACATTTAATTTTGACCTAAAAATAGTACTAGCTTAAAATTGCAGCATAAAGTTAAGGCAGAGAAGTATTTTCTGATAAAAAAAAGGGTCTACTCACTGGTTCTCCAGGCTCAGGGATTACGTTCGCAGCCTGCCAACACAACACATCAACAGTATATGGTCAATTAAACTGCAGTCTGCTACAGGGCTGTAAATGGTGTAGTGTACATGGAAAACAGCTGGTACTCAACTCACATCTCCTGAAACCCCAGGGAGTCCTCTCGGTCCAACTTCACCCTGAGGCAAGAGACGCCATGTTCACAGATTCTGCATTTAAATGTCCTCAGTTTGGCCAACAATGCTGGGCAACCACCACAGCCATTTTGAACAGTTTATCAACATTTACCTTGTCACCCTTTTCACCTTTTGGCCCAAATCGTCCCTCTGTTCCTTTTTCTCCCTGTATGTAAAAAAGAAGAAGCCATAAACAGGTTTTCTACTCATTTCCTGAGCTGTTTTTATAGTTTGACCGGTTACAGCAGTTTATCGGTTAGACGAAGGCATGGTTGCCCACCTACACCAGGGCTCTGCAATCTTTCAAATCCAGACAGTCATTTTGACCTGAGTCTGGCTGAGTTAAAGGCATTTAGAGCCGCAAATATTTTATAACCTTTCAATAAAACAAAGCTTATTGTTTTTTGTTATGCATGTATATACCTGATGTAGGAAATCTGCTGACATGTCCAACAACCAACAATTCATTTGTATATTCAGCTTTTAAAAACTAAGAAAACACAGAAAACTTCATAAAGATGTACCATGGGTGTTTTTTCGTAGGATATTATGTGATACAAACAAACAATTTATTAAAAAAAACATGATTTTCAAGCGAATGACAAGAAAAGTAGATCTAAAAAACATATTTTTGTCACTTTGTTGCAAAGATTCAAATATTATTTAAAATACACAGCAAAGCTTTAGGACCAATACATTAGCTGCCTCTGTGTATCATTTTAGGCCAATAATAAAGACCATTGTAGAGGTTACAAAGAGCCAGGTGGGCTGCAGTTTACAAACCCTTTATTTATCAATAGGCTTGCACTGGAAAAAAAATCAAAATCTAGATCAGTCATTTTTCTTTAAAATAAGTGCATTTGTTCTTGAATTTAGGAGGTAAAAGATACATTTTGCCAATGGAACAAGACAATTTACACTTAAAATACCTAAACACAATTGCATTGTCTTATTTCAAGTGCATTTTATCGAATTATCTTATTTTAAGAGTAAAAATACTCATTCCATTGGCAGATCATCTTATTAACCTTCTCAAATTAAGGGTAAATACAATTTACTTATTTCTAGATTGTTTTTCCAACGTAGCAAGAATAGCATCACACTGGAAAAGTCGAAGTCTAGATAAGTCTTTTTTTTTTATTAGTGCATTTGTTCTTGAATAGAGAAGGTAAAAGACACATTTTGCCAATGGAACAAGACGATTTACATTTAAAATAAGAAAACACAATTGCATTGTCTTATTTCAAGTGCATTTTATCAAATTATCTTATTTTAAGAGTAAAAATACTCAATCCATTAGCAGATCATCTTATTAATACGGAAGAGGATTAGGGCCACTGAAAAAAAAAAAGTTAACTGATTTTTTAATTTTTATTTTACTTTAACATGGAAAAAAGTCAGAATTCTGACTTTTTTCTCAGAATTCTGACTGAAATCTGACAATAAAAAAAGTCTGAGTTGAAAACTGTTAAACTGAAAGAAAATTTAAAAATCAGTTAACTTTTTTTTTTTTTCAGTGGCCCTAACCCTCTTCCGTATATTAACCTTCTCAAATTCAGGGTAAATACACTTAATTTAAGACATTTTTACAGATTTCTCAATTGTTTTTCCAATGTAGCAAAAATAGCATCACACTGGGAAAAAAAAGTCGAAGTCTAGATAAGTCTTTTTGTTTTTAATTAGTGCATTTGTTCTTGAATAGAGAAGGTAAAAGATAAATTTTGCCAATGGAACAAGACGATTTACATTCAAAATAAGAAAACACAATTGCATTGTCTTATTTCAAGTGCATTTTATCTAAATATCTTATTTTAAGAGTAAAAATACTAATTCCATTGGCACATCATCTTATTAAGGGTAAATGCACTTAATGTAAAACATTTTATTGCTAGATCGTTTTTCCAGTGCAGACAGGCACCTAAGAATCCCCACACTGCAAAAACGATCTGAAATTAAGTAAAAATTTATTAAATCAAGTGTATTTACCCTTAATTTGAGCAGGTAAATAAGATAGTTTGCCAATGGAATTAGTATTTTTGCATTTAAAATAAGATAATTAGATAATATGCACTTGAAATAAGATAATGCAATTGTTTTTTCTTATTTCAAATGTAAATCGTCTTGTTCCATTGGCAAAATGTATCTTTTACCTTCTCTATTCATGAACAAATGCACTTATTTAGATTTACATTTTTTGCAGTGATGGTAACTTTGAAGGACAGAGACTACAAAGTCTACAAAGACTCACAGCTCAGGTGGGAGAACCTGTCTACAAGATAACTAATAGTATTCAATTCCACAAATGATTTTTATTAAAGCACATAAAGAGAGCTGCTATCGAAGAAGAAAACAATGAGAAGTCCCATTTATAGTTTGCCACAAGCCTTGTAGGACAGCGGAAACTTCATAACAAGATGATTTCATCAGATTGGACCAAAATTTTACCTTTTTGGCCTGATGAGAGGCTGTGTGGCAGGAAATAAACCTGCACCACAAAAACATCCTCCCCATAATGATACATACTGCGATGGCATTATGTAGTGGGGATGTTTTTCTGAAGCAGTCATCGGGAAACCACGTTCAGAGATGACAAACGCATAGATTGATCTAAATTATGTGGATAAATGAGGAAAAACTTGATTGTTTCCCAATTGTCAGAGATAATTGGAACAGTTTAAAATCCTTGAAGGGATTTTATATATGGCTTGTTTTTTCTTCTGCATGTTGTCATTCATTACGTCTTTGGTCCAAAGTAAAAAAAACTACCAAGCTAAGCTTATAAGCTATTATTGATGTTTTAGTGACCAGATTAACTGATGGGAGCCTCATAACTATTCTTTTGCATCATAACAAGTAATATTTCACCCAGTGTAAAAGAGAATCTATCCAAGTACAGAAAAAAAGGTCTGTATTTGTGTATGAAACAATCATTTAGATTTGAATCGTTATTTTGATGTTGCTTCCTACCGGAATTCCTCTCTCTCCTCGAGCTCCATCTGCGCCTGGTTGACCAGGGGAGCCAGCTTCTCCCTTTAAGAAATTCACACAACATCATGGACTACTTCCCCTTTTAACTATAAGAATGATAAGTCCGAAAGAGGAGATGCAGGTCTGAACTTACTCTCTCCCCAGGAGGGCCTCGTGGTCCAGGAGGCCCTTCGTCACCCTAACGATAAGACATATAGCCATTGAAATGTTAGAGATTGAAGCCATCTCCCAGGTTTATGGGTGTTACAGGGTTGGATTAAGAAGCAGTACCTTAGGTCCAGGCTTGCCAGGAAAACCATCTGCTCCCCTTTCTCCTCTGGGTCCCTTTAAGGATACAAGATCATTAAGAGATCGTCAACCGAATTAAACAAAAAGAACATTTTGGTGATGGAAAATATGTCAAAGGGACTTTGGGATTGGAAATGCACCACTTTTTTGGTTTAGGGTGTCTTCTTTTTTCATGTATCTGTCACATTTAGATGTGTTGTATCATAAAACTAATGTTGTATTTGTAGGAGTCGCTCAGGTCATCATGAGCTTTTTCTATGCTGCTATCGGCTTGGGCTGCTGGAAGACATAGGGACCACTTTTCATTATTCTGCTTCAACCTATCTCTATTCTTGCATTCTGCAGTGCTTTTTAGTTCCACATCTAACTGTATGTTGTCTCTGCTTTTACTAATCATAGCAGTCTCAACTGATAGATCCGTGTTTGGCTGTGACACCATCATGAAGAGCAATATTAGCTAGGCCTCTGCCATCAACACCTTCCATTATGCATGTTTTGCCCATTCTTCAGTGCTTAGTCCTGTTGCTCTCCTAGACATAGATCTTGGATCAACTTTCACTGTAACCTACTAAAACTTAACTGTTTCTTTCCCAGACAGAGCCAACTGTGGAGAAAGTTTATAGTTACCTTTCTCAACATAGAAAGTATTTAAGGAGTGTTTCTATTTTCGTACTCCTTGAACTCCAAGTAAGCCACTGGAAAAGCTGCTTAAACTCCTGGAAGTTTGTTCTCGAAATTGGATGGATGCTCATGGTAAGGGATTGCTGTAGAGTCAATGACCCAATGCGAGCTAATATCTACCATCTCTACATGTTCATTCAGGAGGAAAGAACTCTGCAAAGTCAATGACTGGATGCAATCAGCTCTTTTTTCTTAGATAGAACACTGAACCAACATAATAGGATGACCTGATAAATTGTCTCTGTTCCTTGAGATGACTTGTGAATTCGTGCTACAAAAAAAAATAAACTGAATTGAAGTGAATATAGTTTTGAAATCATGATTTCACCTAAATGATCTAAAAAAGATTCCAATATCTTCCTTATCCTTAACAGCTAGTTTTGCAACCCTTGGTGAGGCAAACTGCCAACAAGGGATTACCAACTAACAGTAGACTTGGAAGTGGCTCTGGAGGACTTTTGGATCACCATTTTGCTAAATAGTTTTCAATCGACCCACAGTAGAAGGTGTAAACTATCTGATTATGGTCCTGGTAAAGCCTCTCAAAGGGATTTTAGTCTGAAATTTGACCAGATTCTGCCCTTTTCTTTTCTTTGATCCATCAAAATATGGCCTTTTTGGTATCCTTGGATCATTGCCCTGCAACAAGATCAAATTTTGTCATGATCTTGGCGCTGATGGTTTGGTTTTTTCCTTAGCTCCTTGCTCCCCTGTCTAATTGGTTCTGCGGCTGATTATCGCCGATCATTTTCACCTGCTTCCTCTACTATTTAGGTTGTGTGTTTGCCTCCCATCAGCGGCAGGTTATTTGTGTGTTTTTGTGATACGTTCCCATTCTGTAGTCTGCCTGTTTTCCTGATTTTGACCAGTTTTCTGCCCTGAGGATCTCGAGTTTTTGCCTTGCCCCTGTCTGCTCTGTTTGTCGCATCTGGTCCTGGATTCTACCGGCTTCTGAACCTGGAACTGTCTTCTGACTTCGGCCTTGGATTTCCCTTCTGGACTCTGTTGCTGCTCGGCGTCGGCTGCTCGCTCTCTAGGAACTCCGGGGGCGTCGCCCGCCGCAACAGCGGACAAACCTCCGCGAGCGGACTGAACTTTGAATCAGGTCGGTGACTTTGCTCCCAGTCGTGTTAAGCTCCATATCCAGTCACTGACCTGTATTCTCCCATTTCTGCAGAGATCAGCCCTGCAGCAGACGAGCAGCCCCGCGCACCAGTTTTGTTTAATAAACGCTTTGAACTTTCCCACTGCCTGTCTCGCCTTGAATTCTGGGTCCAATATTCTGAGATCATTACAAATTTAGTTGAGATTAAAGGCCTAACAACCAGAGATGGGGGATCCATCAAGTCATCTCCATGTCATGTATTTGTTCTGCATAATGATTCCCCAACTCTGCTGATGACATAAAGAGCAGAATTCAAAGTTGAGAGCAACGCACTACCACCAACATGCCAGATATAACAAAACCCACATTTCCTCAACATTTCTAACACTTGTGGCATCAGTCCTCAGTATTTGTGTTAAGGGTCATTAACAGGTTATATTAAAATTTAACACCTGCTTGTTCTTATTGATGAATTGGGAACACAGAGGGAAACATGAGGGCTTTAAATGTGGTTCTGGGTTCCTTTGTGACCTGGATGAAGAGATATACATTCTTGAAGTTATTATTGAGAGCCAGCCAATCCTGGGATTAACCTCCACTGTGTCATGGTTCACCGTTTGTGGTAATATTCCAGACAACTCAAGTGGTTTCACTTCAGTTTTTTAATGTTTTGCATGAAATCTTCACGCAGCAACGGCAATCTCACACATCATTGTGTTTCTGCTTTGGTTCCCACATCTCATCATGCCCCCCCAAAAGCTTTATTAGCAGTTTGTCTTATAAGAATTCTGTCATTTGAGCTCGTTTTTAAACTTATTAATCTTTTAACAGATTTTTACAAAATATTTAAAGCATCCTCAGTGCTTGTTTGAGTGTCAAGTTTAGCATTGTGGTGCTTAAGGTGGCTGCATGTTAGAGTAGGTCTACCAGCTTGATTCTGCTATTCTTTTTTTAAAGAATTTCAGTACTTTTGTTTGTAGCTAAAAGTTTCTTTTTCCCAATTCTGGTGTTGGATGCTGTTCAACTGAGAGAATTTCTGCCAATATCTTTTATGTTTGTAATGATATGTATCCATAGCAAGGATGTCAAGTTGTATATTTCCAGCCAGGAGGAGATTGTTAATATCTAAAAAGCTAACAAAATATTTCGACTACTTCCCAAAGTCCCAGGGAAGTTGAAAATGAGGTGCCATGGATGCAGAGGAGGGAAGACGAGAAGCGAGAGAAGGAGGAAATGCAAGAAATTTTGTAGCTGCCATCGAAGTCAGAATAAAAAAATAAATAAATAAGAGATGAATAAATATTTAAGTAAAAAATATAGAGCTCATAAATACATTTTTAGTAATAAAGGTTAAATATTAAAGTATAATTTCATGTGTTTCTTGAATATTGTTTGTTTTGATGTGGGGGAACGAGTCCTAATTAAGGGGTTAAGGGGACGCAGCTGTGGGTCGATGGAGTGTTACCTTTAAGGGTCGGTACCTGTGGATCTGTAACGTGGTTCTGGAACAAACAATCAGGCAGACACCGCGCTGATTCCTCTGCCTAAGTCACCAGTGATAAGGACATTGGATAAAGGACTGAAAATTCTAATTTTCTCTCAAGGGAAAGCGGCCAATGAGGTACATTTCAGTTTAATTTACTGTTTACTTTGTTTGACCGTTAAGATTTAACGCGAAGAATATCTGTTGAGTCATATATGTATGTATGTATGTATGGTCGCTTTTTTCCTTTGATGTCCTTTCGGGGAAATAATTAGTTTGTTTGCTTTTCTTTCTGTATGTTTTAACAGTTCTCACGGCACACTATCATACTTCTTGTGTGATTAAAGCCAGTATCTAAAGAACGACTTGGTTTCCTGATTTTTTGACTTGAGAGGGAATTACAAATCTCTTCTAACAATCAACAGGATCAATGTGAGATCTCCAGGAAAAGAATTAGAAGAACTCCAAGCCCTTGCAAAGACTCAGACAGAATGTACCAGGAATGCAGTGTTTTTTTTTTTAAACACTGCATTTGCTGCAGTATCATTGTCAGGTTTGGTTGAAATTAGTTGAGGATCCAAATGCAGAGAGTAGGAGGCAGAGATGATGAAGAGTTAGCTGCAAATGGCAGCAGGAGCACAAATCCAGAAATAAATAAAATAGAAACCAAAACCAGGAGACACCAGAGAGAAACACACACAGAGCAAAGCAATGAAGAGAAACCCGCACTGAGGAACAGCACAGGGAGAATATAGATGGGAGACTGAACAAAGATTAGGCTAATGAGCTGACAAGGAAGTGTGGATAGAAGCAACTAGTGGATGGGGGAAAGGAAACTGGCTCAAGAACACAAAAAACACAACACTGCTGAAAAATACAGTAACCCTTTCATTTACAGCAGATCAGTAACCATGTAATAACATGGTAACAAGCAGGTTACACTATATTACAATGTAACAAGTAACACTTTATGGAAATTCTGGTAAGTTCTGTGCTTCAAATTTAAGGCAGACAAGGTAAAGTCAGACTTCTTAGATATCAAACCGTTATTACAGGTAAAACTCAGTCATTTCAGCAACAGCAATAAATTAATGTATTATCTAGTAAAATGCAGTTTATTTCTTGGCAAATAACAGAAAACCAAATCTAGAAGACAGCAAGCCAATCTTCTCAATTGAACACTTATTTATACAGTACATAACTTGAGTTCAATTTTATAATGCTTTATTTACCTGATCACAAGTAATTATTTACTTTGTGAGCCGTTGGTAGGTGGTGGCCAATAATAGAAACTGTTATCTGGTAAACTGATGGTAATTACCCACCAAAAGTCTCCATTGTTACATAGTAACATGCAATTGTAATTATTACATGCAGGTAATTACCTGCATATATACCTTAATGTTGGGGTAATTACTAAGTAAAGTCTTTCCTGTTACCAAGAAATTTAGTGTGACTTGCTATGTTACTACCATATTATTACATGGTTATCGATGTACTGTAAAAGAAAGCTTTACAAAAAAAAAAAAACTAGAAAAACTGCAATGACACAAAATGGAAAAGAAACAATTACCAAGAAAACAGAATTACATAAATAAAAATGTAAATGAAAACTAAAAAAAAGTCATATCCTTCTCTCTCTCTCTCTCTCTCTCTCTCTCTCTCTCTATATATATATATATATATATATATGTGTGTGTGTGTGTGTGTGTGTAATGTGTGGCCATGTCTTTAATACCTGGTGGGGACAATTTCCTAGGAATATGCTACATTTTGGGGACTCATAGGTACTTGTGGGGACCAACAACTGGTCCCCATAAGGAAAGTTTCTCTTCTTGGGGTGGGGGTTAGGTTTAGGACTAAGGTGTGAATTGAGTTTAGGTTAGGTTTAGGGTTAGGTATGTGTCGGTAATGGTTAGGGTTAGGGCAAGGGTCACGGTTAGGCCATATAAATTAGTGGGAAATGAATGGAAGTCAATGGAAGGTCCCCACAAGGATATTGTGACACAACGTGTGTGTGTGTGTGTGTGAATAAGTAGACAGATTTAAAAATGCTGGAAAAGTATAGAGTATAGGTCCCTTATTAAGAGGCAACCTGCTGTAAAGATAACTGTAAGTAGACGTTAACAGTAAGCTGAAGAGGCCATGTAAGAAGGGAGCCTCTTCTTTAGTCAATGGCTTTTCCAGATTTGCAAGACAGACTGTTCCTATAGTTAGTAACATCTACAACTTGTTAAAAAAAAATACATGTGAGTTACTACAAATATTTCCTTTGGGAAGAAATTTTTCAGATTTTATAATCTTGTTTGTTGCTGTTAAAAAAAGGTTTGTTGAGGCGTATTCTTACCATATTCCCATCAGCGCCAGGAAGACCATCCAGACCATCTTTACCAGGAAGACCCTAAAAAAGGTTGTATCAATAAATAGTTACAGTCATCGAGGACAGATTGCAAATACCACTTTGAGAGCCACAGTATAAGAAGATAATTTTTCGGGATTAGAAATTAAACTCACAGGTTTCCCTGTGTCTCCTGGTTTACCCTGAGACCCTCGTTCACCAGGGAGACCCTTAAAAAAACAGTAATAAAGATATGTCAGCGCACTCGAGATTATCTAAATAAGGCTTATACATACACAGTTTAGATAAGCATCTTTAACAAACCCATAAAAAAAGAATATTAAGTCTTGATTTTAATTTATAACTTACAGGGGGACCGAGTGGTCCTGGTGGCCCCGGTGAGCCTGGCTGACCTGCTGAACCCTTTAAAATAAACAGTGTTTCAATTGATGTTTCATCCTGTATATAATTTGTGTTTATTTTGTGTTTACAACAGTAAAAGATAAAAACTGTAAACTGTCTTACTTCCAACTTTAAAAACAAATCATCCACATATGGACTTGGGAAACTAAAAGTACTGTATGTCCTACTGTAGCTCAGAGGTTCCAAAACTTTTAAGCCTGAGACCCCAAAATTAACAGTGCAACAGACTCGAGATTCCCTAAAAATACATAAAATTACTTCACACTATATGAATCTATCTTATAAAGTGAAATAATTCTATTAATCCATGAATTAATTGTTTAATTAATTAATTAATTAAACAATTGTTTAATTGTTAATTGTTTAACTGATCATTTTAAAGCATTTTCATTATTTTAATGGGACAAGTAATTATCTTATTTATTAACAATATATTGGTTATTCATTTTTTGAACTATTGTTGTCGGAATATTTAGATTTCTTATTTCATATATTAATTTATCCTATTTACTCACTATAAAGGTTTAAACTCAGTCTCTTTCAGCTGCAAGGCCACATAATGCCCCTGTGTGAGGGAGTTTGTAGACCAGATATTGCTTCTTCCCAAAACAAGCCCGATTCTTTCTCAAGGTTTATTCATAACATGTTACTGTTAACCAAAGTGACTATAATTCGTTTTGATTCTGACCACTTTCCATTGTCTTACAACAATGCATTTTTGGTACATGCAATAAGCAGGCGTGCTGAGAATGATCTGTAAAGATTGTTGCATTAATAAAGTTTATGCTGATTAAAAAAAACAGATTGCTTTGTCCAAAGGCAGTAAGAGAGCGACCATAAAAGAAGGTTGAGTTTCAAAGCCATGGAGATGGAGGTAATAATGAAACGGACCCCATCTTATCATCTTACAATACAAACACTCCTTGTACTGCAGCATGGTTTACTATCTTTTGTAAGTTACTGCATTAATGTGTGGGAACAGGAGCTAAAATTGTGTGTTGGATATGAACTATGATAATCCACTAGAGGGCGCTGCTTAAATTACTTGCAAGGAAGTTTAGATTTTTTTTTTAATTCTGCTTTTATTCAAGTGTACACGTCCTATAACAAGTCCCCTTAACTTCATGGTTTAAGCAATGAATTTGTTGTTTTTCCTTTCATATCTATTAGCATAACCATAAAAAAGAAGAGCAACACAAGAGATGAAATCTAAATTGCTAGATGGGGGTTTTAGATGACATCCCAGTATGATTGTCTTGCTGTTATTTGCTGTATATTTTACAGGTGTTATAAGAATGAAGGAAATGTGTGCACTAAAATAAAGGTTTTGTTTCTACCTGAGGTCCAGGAAGGCCATCTACTCCCGGCAGTCCATTGTCACCTTTCCTTCCCTGAGAAACACACATTTTTATCAATAAATTATAAAAAAAAAAAAAAAAGAACAACATTGCATGTATCATAACATTTGATAAGCCCAGTCTCTGACCTCACAATATGCATCTGTTTCTCTTTGGGGAATTTAGAAAACTGCCCCTGAAGTAAGCTAGAGTGAGGGGTTTACTCTCATGAAACAGTTTGTGTAGAAAATCTAGAGGTTTTACATGTAGCTATGAAGCAATAACACCTAAAAGTCTATCCATTTCAGCGGGAGATCTGTGTTTGGGTGCTTTTTCTCCCTGTGAAACACCTCAACATTACATAATCTATCATTAAAAGCCAAATGGAAAAAAATACCTTCTTAATGAAAGCTTAATTACTCAAAATGTTCCATAATATTTCTGAGGGCTAATCTCTTGGTAAACATTGAAGCTCTACTAAAGTCGAAAAGGTTTATTTGTAGAAAACATGCTACACCTGAAATATTGTAATAACCTGTTGCACTCCTTAAACAAATTAAATATCAATGAGTAAGTTGTAGAAACACTCAAAAAGTGATTGCAACTTACATTAAACATTCTGTAAATATTCAAATTCATTCCTACATCCCGACTGATTTCTCTTCTCTTTTTTTTGCTTCATGAGCTGTGCTCTTGAAGAAACAAAAAAATGTGTCTCTCAGGGACTAGCCCCACTAAAAACAAGCGTTTGCCAGAGATTCCTGGATGATCACTTAATGTGTCAAAACCGGCATTGTGAAGAATGCACAGTGCACTTCGTCATGGCACTTTGCAAACTATAAACAGTTTGTTGCACAATTACTGCAATGGGCTTTTATTTTGTGAACTGTACAAAGATGGTCACAGGAAGCTGAAGAAGCCCTGAAAGGTTGTTGTTAAACTTTAGACCAGGATGCACTGTGCCATCAACATGGAGAGGACATCAGTGCAATGGGTATGGGTAGATAACACCCTCTCTACCAGAGCAGTGAAATGGTTCCCAAATAATAAAACCTGGATCACCAGTGATCTAAAGAAAATGATAAACTAGAACAAAAAGCTTTCGGTAAGGAAGATGGGGAATTATTGAGGAGTGTACACAAAGAAAATCCCAGGTGTTAAGCATAAAGAGTATCATACAGAGGAGGTCTATCCATTGTTATGGATAGACCTCCTGCCTTCTTCCATTACCATAAAAAACTTAGCCTTCAATGACCGCAAGGCTGTAGAAAACAGTATTGGTGCTGGAGATGGTGTAGATGTGTGGATCTCAGTAAAAAAAACTTTGAATAGTCATTGCATTCCTATTCTTCTTCTATTCTATTCTTTATATTTTTTTAACAGTGTCCTGTCTGGCGATGTGGCATTACATCAGACTGTAGTATTGGGCTGATACAGGAGAAGGTGCTTTTGAGACATTTTCACCAGATGGTGGAAACAATCAGTCCAATCCACACACTCAAAGAAATCAGACCATAGATGTCCAAAAATTAAGGTAGGTGTCATAATTTGGAATGTCACAGGGAAAAAGTATTGAACATGTGAATCAATGTGCCATCACCCCAAAAACACCATACAGTTGCAGCCATTCAAAATGGCCTTTCCCATTCAAACCCCAGCCAAATGGCAGCCCACTCCCCTTTGACTCCACCGTTTCACTGAATTACAAGGTCTGACCAGGAGATGGCGCTTCTCTTTAGATCTTAATGTCCACAAATCATGACAAAAATAATATTTTAGTACAAATATTGATGTTTATGATCTGCTACCATCTACCAGGATGATGGTGATGAAACATGGGTTGACACTTCAGCAAAACAATGACCCCAAACACAGAGTCAAGGAAACTAGCAATTGGTTTCAGAGAAAGAAAATAAAACTGCTAGAATGGCCCAGCCAATCACCTGACCTGAATTCAATAGAAAATCTATAACCCTCAACCCTCAAGTACTGAAGACTGTGGAAGAATGGGCTAAAATCATAACTGAACAATGCATGTGACTAATTTATCCATACAGGAGGCATCTTGCAGCTATCATTGCCAACAAAGGCTTTCCTGCAAAGTATTACATTTTTTTCAGTACTTTTTCCCACATTATTATTCATCTATCCATTTTCTATCATGCCTATCCCAAGTGGGGTCGTGAGGGGTGCTGATGCCTATCTCCAGCTGTCTACTACCGAGAGACGGGGTACACCCTGGACCAGAGATGGGAAGTAACGAAGTACAAATACTTCGTTACTGTACTCAAGTAGATTTTTCTGATATTTTTACTTTACTTTACTACTTATTTTTATGGCGACTCTTTACTTCTACTCCTTACATTTTAAAAAATTGGCTCGTTACTTTAGTTTTGAATCATTTCAATGGAGTTACCGTTATTATTTTTCACGTCATCAATACCAAATTCAATCTAATTGGATGGGAATCTACGTTGTATTTGACGCACCACTACAAGATGAATCGACAGATTCGGCGGTATTCATTGGCGGCAAATCATTGCAGCTTGGTGGCGGTGGCGTTAGCATAGTAGCATGGACGACGAGATGATTGAAAATGAACACGACGGAGATCTAGTCCTATTGGCAGACATCCATTTAAAATGTAGGCAACGGCATGAAAAAAGTGGTTTCTACTTTTACTTTTATACTTTAAGTAAATTTACTAGCCTGTACTTTGTTACTTTTACTTGAGTAAAGAAGTGTAATCAGTACTTCCACTTTTACCAGAGTATTTTTTAACACAAGTATCTGTACTTTTACTCAAGTACGGAAAGTGAGTACTTTTGACATCTCTGCCCTGGACAGGTCAGCAGTCCATCGCAGGGCAACACAGAGACAAACAACCATTCACACACACACTCACACCTAAGGAGAATTTAGAGAAACCAATTAACCTAACATTCATGTTTTTGGACTGTGGGAGGAAGCCAGACTACCCAGAGAGAACCCACACATGCTCAGGGAGAACAAATCAAAGTCAATGAACAAAATAACATAATTTAGCAGTCCCGAAAGATAATCTTTGAAATCAGCAAAAATTCCAATCAAATTTTGGAATCAAAGAATTTGATTGACAGATGACTGTTGATATATGATTGGCCGAATTTAGGTTTTCAAGCTGATGTATAACTAACTGGCCTGCATAAGATAATGAAAAAAAAAAACACAGATTTTAAGACAGGATTTTTTTTTTTAATAGAAATTTTCTAACTTTTGGGACAATATAGTCTGATAAAGAGTACTTTTATATACATGTTTAAGCCAAAATTATTTGAAATTTAAATATGATTTCCCTATGACTTTAGGAAAGATTAACAAGCTGATAAAGGATGGCTCTGTTCTAGGGTCTCCTCTAGAACCTCTGAAAATAAGTTATGATTAAGAATTCTTCATAAAAAGAAAATTATGGAAAATAGTGAGCATCCTCCTCATTAGATTTTAAACAACAAAGCATCTTAATTCAAAGGCTTTTCTAGATCCTTTGGAAGACAGACTGTTATAAGAGAAAGTTCCTGTCTACATCTAATACAATTCTGCAACACCAAATAAAATAAACAAACATTTATTTTCTCTTGGGACAAAGAAAGAATGTTAAAATTGAACTCAAATGATGAACTTTAAAGCATCCAGCTACGAGTGCACAAGATCAAATGTTTTTTTATTCCCTGCACAGCCTCCCATAATAAAAACATAAAAAAGCACTATATTACTGTTTTCACACATATAAAAAAGTGGAATATGCTCAATGGTTTGCTTTTTTTCCTAATTAAGTCTTAGTTTAAATTCTCGAGAAGCTCTGGGGAAGTGATGATTTAATGGGATCAAAGTAGGTCAGTTTGTGCCACAAGAGCTTTGGCTTCACGCAACTGCCAAACTGAACAGCTGCAAATTATAACTCCAGACCCCTGTTAATGAGGAGTTAAACACTTCCAGAAGAACAGAGTGTGTGTGTGTGTGTGTGTGTGAGGGGCTTATATGTAATAGTTTCACAAGAAGTAACATAAAAACATGGAGTATGGTTTCATCTAAAAAAAGAGCAGTAAGGGTAAGGGTTCACCTTTTATTGCAATTAAATTATTGCACCTCATTAAAGAGAATTAGACATTCACACTAGTAATTTAAATAACATAAAACTGAAAAAATTAAAATAAATAAAAGTGTAATAAAGGCTAATTTAGAAATAAACAATATATATATATATATGTATTAGGGCTGTCAAAATGAAAGCGTTAACGCAAGATGATTAATTTCTGGAATTAGCACCGTGCTGTTTTACCCATAATTCAATTGTCTGTTAGAAAGAGATGAAGGGGTGAGAAGAACCCGTTGGCCCCCTGGACAGACTGATCGAGTATTAAAAAAAACAAAGATGGAGCAGTAAATAAAGATGTGGGTTGCTCACACTGCAAGAAGAACTTTTGGTTTCACTGAAGCACCTCGAGTCTTAAAAATCATTCATTTGTCGGAGCTTCAACCTCAGGTGTTACGTTTGGCATGCGTCAGACCACCCTCACCTGCATCCCACGGTTCCATGCAAACGAGTCCTCTCAGTTGCTGGCCATATTGTTCAGCAGAAACAGTTCGCTTTGCGTTCAGAAAAATGTTAACCAGTGAGTTTGCCTTAGCAACTGGCTAAAAGATGAATACATAAAAGGTAAAAGGTCCATATGTAATTATTTAAAAGCGGAGTTGTTCCACTCACCTATGTTGTTTTTCCTAAAAATGAAAAAAACTAAACAAAACAAAGGGCAATGTCTAAGTTTCCAAAATTGTTGAAAATATGTATATTTTTTTCATAAATAAAAAACTAAATGTAACATCCACTTCTTCTTATTTAACCCCTCCTCACCGACCGCAGGTGGTCTTTCTTTTTCCTCAATGCTTGGGTCCTGGGAGCTTAAGGGTTCTGCCCAGTATGTTTACAGTTCCAAGTACTGTTATGTCCGTTAGGAAATTATTATCTATATTGACATGACTTGAAATATAATCAATGAAACTTGAATATTTTGAATGATATTATAAGTATACTGAGTGAAACTTGTCTTTTTTATTCCCGTAAATATTTCCCTTAAGGAAATAAATTTCATAAACAACAAGTCATATAAACACACACATATAAATGCATATATATATATATATATATATATATATATATATATATATATATATATATATATATATATATATATATATATATATATATATATATATATATATATATATATATATATATATATATATATTGATGCAAGAGAGCAAATCATGAACTGAATAAAAATGAAACCATATTATTTATTTGGTGTTGTTTGTATCAGTTATAAAAAAAACCACTGACCACAACAACCAGAATTTATTTTCTTATGCCGTTGCAAATGTCCCGTACGTATAGCACTACCTATTACCAGATCAACCACATTCAAAATCAATGTGAAAGTCTTACTCGTTCTCCACGCTCACCAGGCAGACCTTTTGCCCCCATAGGACCCTAGGAAACACTGAGTTAGTCACAACATCCACAGTCCAATTGAGATTTTAGCAAAATTGTCTAATTTTTATCCTTAAAATCAGAAGTCATTTAGTCTTACTGGAGGTCCAGGGGGACCATCTGCCCCTGGTGGCCCACGAGGTCCAGGTTCTCCCTGAAACAAGTAAAAGGCCATGTATGAGTATGCGTTGTACTTAGAACTGTGAGGACAAAACAAAGTTGATTGTCTTTAACAGGTGGTAGAAAATTATAGGTAGACCTTAAAAAATGTCAGGTTTTGAGGACACCCTACATCAATGGATGCTGCCAGGATTAGCATTTGGTTTTACTGAATTACTGTACTTCACTCTAGAAATGATAGCACAACTTACGGTTTCTAATGTCTTTGTTTATTTTCCCATAAACAAAAACTTGACTAAAACGAACTGCCTTTGTTTATTTTCCCATGAAAATATTATATGTAACTATTAATATTAATTAAGAATAAGAATTATTAAGAATAGATATTGAAGTAGATGTGAGTGAAAAAAAAACAACACACAATAATCATGAACTGTATCTCTCCATGGTACTGAATGGTTGAAATATGCTTCCAGCCAAACATGTTACTCACCCTTTCACCTCTCAGGCCTTCCAGTTGGACCTGATATAAAAAGGAAAATAGCAGATCAATGAGATGTAACTTTAATCAGTGGTTACTCTGGTATTTTAAACTTTATTATGACAAAGATCCTGATAACCAACTCATTAAAATTTAGTTCTGATTCTGTTAAAGTTTAGTTAATTAATCCAATAGGGATTAATTAACTTTATAGATTACTGTAACCCAGTAGTATATATTATTGGCAGGAGAGTCCTTCTCAGAAGCATCTAAGTAGGAGGAGTTCATTGATCAGATGAAATATTTTTTAACAGTGTCTCTGATATTCTGGTGAAGGTTCTCAGTCATCCAGGTCATAGTCATTCCCAAAAATATGAAAAACAATCCACTGGACTTTGTTTCCAAGTTTGAAGATGTTTCGCTTCCCATCCAGGAAGCTTTTTAAATTCAAAATGTCAGGAGTAGCGTTGAGTTCGAGGTTTTATACAGTAGCCCAGCAAAGCCTTGTTTTTCTTAGTTTTGTTCCAAAAACAGGGCTTTGTTGGACTACTCACCTCTTGGTCAAGAGGTGAGAATCAGGTCCTGCAAGTACAAGGCCATGGTTAAACGAGGCCTGTGCCCCTTAGGATTCTGCCTAAACTGCAGGAGTTGAAGTTCTCTGCATGGTGGATGGACACTGCCTTAGAGGAAGGGTGAGGAGCTTAGACGCTCGGTAGAGTTTCTGTTTGGCTGTGACGCCATCCTGGAGAGAAATATCAGCTATAAACACCTTTGTTTATAGATGTTGGAGATCAGTCTGTTTTTTCGGTGTGGTCCTGTTTCTCTGACTGTGACTGGCTGGATGTGCTCTCTTCATCCTCTGACATGGGAGCTGGCTCAGTGCTCGTCTGCCTGGCTGTGTGTTTCCTGGACAGGGCCGCCTGTGGAGCTGGTTGACAGTTGCCTTTTCTGCCTCTACATTTTCTGTATCTCTGCTTCTGTCTCCTTGAACCCGAGTCGGCCTTGGAGGATGGCCGCTCACACTGAGCCTAGTTCTGCTGAAGGATTCTTCATGTTAAAAGGGAGTTTTTCCTCTCCACTGTGACTACAAACATGCTTTGTGTGAAGGATTGCCTTCGCGTCAATGAGTTGATGCAATCAACTGGTTTTCCTTAGAAAACTTTGAATCAATCTAACTTTCTGATCTGGTTGAATCGTCTCAGTAAAGTAGCCTGAGATTATGTGTTGAGAAATAGCGCTATAAATAAACAGAAATTAATTGAATTGGATCACTTTAACAAAATTTTTAATACTTCTGACCCCACTTTATGTTTTTTATTGTTGTATTATATTAATAAAAACAAAATATATATAAATACATAGGACATGCTGAAATAAATGCCTCAATGCAAGTTCTAGGGTTGAAATACTGGGGTTTGGGTTAAAATGTGGGGTTTTTACTGGCACTTACCATATCCCCAGGTAATCCAGGAGGGCCTCGATCCCCCTGAAGCAGAGTTAACAGAAAAAACAAACATCATCAGAATAACTAGACCCTCAGAAAGACGGCCATGACACAATGTGTTAAAAACATGGCTCCTGCCTTAAATCATAAAATGACTCCTGCTAAAGTGTTTTGTCATCACAGGCTGAAACAAAGTAAAACTGCTAGTTTAATTATCCTGGAATGTGTTTCTATGTGAACCTTGACTTTCGTGTACATACAGCATGGATTTGGTATTTCAAGCATGTGTCAATAACAAGGATACATCAAAGTCAGTAATTACAGACAGACAAATGAGCTCCACAATTTATTTCCTTAGACAAATTACTTTGGTGGTGCACTGAGGAGACAGAGGAATGTCTGGTGAAAGAAGACTGATGCTCTGCAAGCGCTGAAAGGTTTCTCCATTTACTAAATAGAAATAAAAAAAAAATGCAATCTAGAAAGCAGACTTTGATCTCTTAATCAAAAGAAAGTTTTTGCTGTTTTCTCAGACTTCATTTGGTTTTTTATTAGATTTTCTTTCAAATGTAAGTTTTTTTAAACTGTATTTTTAATCTTTTATACAGTTTTTTATATTTTATATTTTTTATTTTTTAAATGTATCTTTCTTGGATACATAAGAAGTCTTTTTACGTTCTTTCCAAAGAAACAGATCACATTCTATTCTTCATGAGCCCATTATAAACAGTCGCTCATGACGTGTTTATTGACCAATAAGAATGATGTTGGTAATGTCCATAGAGACCAATAGAACTGTCTCTTTGCCCCACACTCCAGAGAAAAGCCGCCCCAGAAATAAAGAGATTGTGATCTGCAAAGTGGTAAAGTAATTACCTGAATAAAAACAAAAGAAATTATGAAAAAAGTTCAAGAATTAAAATGCAAAAAATGTTGGAGAAATAAAAAAAAGGAAAATTTAAGAAAAAAAAAAAAAGGAAACAGAGCAAAATTACTGGAAAACATTTTTGAATAAGGCATTTTTCAAAGTGTAATTTCTTGGTTGCATTTTTTTTTTTTTTTTTTTATCTTTGCTAAAAAGACTAATGGAAAAAATAATCACTCCATTATATCCTCTATACATTTAAAATGTATTTAAACGAGATGTCTTGCACACATGATGAATAGGAAGGTGGGCAGACCTTGTTGCCTTTGATTCCATTTGGCCCGGGTGTTCCAGCCAGTCCTCTCAAACCCTGTTGGAAAAAAATAAAATAAAATTGTAAGGAAATTGAAATTAGTTCTGTTTTAAAAACAGGATGTTAAATATATATGTAAACTCACATCTTTCCCAGGAAATCCAGGCTTTCCTGGTAATCCGTCCACACCTGGTAGACCCTAAAGCAAAAAAAGTTTGTGTGAAGTTTTTTCCTGACTGCAGGAAGAAGAAAACTGTTTTATCACATATTTTGCCTAAAAATAGCCGAAAAAAACAGCAAACATTATTAAACCAGTGGAAGCCAGAGGTGGGTAGAATCTAATATTTTATAAAAAAAAATGTACTTTAAGTAGTTTTACTTTGATATACTTCTTACTTTTAAATGAGCCGAATTTTGTCAAGTATCACTATTCATACTTGGGTAACATTTCTGTCTACTTCGCCCTCTGGGAGTAAATGGAGCTATTCTAAGATCAGGTGAAAATATAACAAATGGTTATTTACCCTATTCTAACATATCTGCATTAATTATTTTGAGTTAATAAGTTTTAAGTTGAAAATCTTATTTGCAGAAGTGTTTCTTCTGCATCAATTTCTTATTCATTATCATATCATATATTTGTGCGGGTTTTTTTCTTCATTTTAGTGTAGTTAGTTGAGTATTTTATTGTTTCTCTTTTAACTCTTCACTATTATGTTATTCTTATACATTTTTCTAAGGTCCACATTTGTATGACAATTGTTTTCTATAATCTTTTAGCTGCTGTAAACATGAATTTTCTCCATTGTGGGTGAATGAAGGGATTTTCTTTACTTTTCTATTCTATTCTATTCTATTCTATTCTATTCTATTCTATTCTATTCTATTCTATTTTAAATACCTGCCCATAACATTTCTCTGACTACATCAAGTATAGAAACAAAATCAGATTCTGTGGTCCAACACAGTACTTGGGTAGCCAATTTGCAAAACACTTTTTTACTCTTGTCTGACTTGTTGGATGAGTATTTTCTACTATTAACCAAGTGGAAATATGATAGGGTAGCACTCTTACTTGTGTAAAATGTTTGGCCGATCTACTCCAGTGGCCTATCAGCGCATTTTCATTGTGACGACCAGGCAGGGATCAATGTGCTATTAGGGAATGGCCGAAAACTTACAGGCACCAAAACCAGTTCAAGGTCAGTCTACACTAATCACACCGACAGAAAGTTTTTTTCTCAAGCCCTTGTTAATAAAGATATTTATATGCCGTCTAAATTAAAAATATAGTGGACAATCTCAGCCTTCAGGATGGACAGAGATGGCAAAAGTACTCACTTTCAGTACTTGAGTAAAAGTACAGATACTTGTATTAAAAAATACTCTGGTAAAAGTGGAAGTACTGATTAAACTTCTTTACTCAAGTAAAAGTAACAAAGTACAGGCTTGTAAATTTACTTAAAGTATAAAAGTAAAAGTAGAAACCACTTTTTTCATGCCGTTGCCTACATTTTAAATGGATGTCTGCCAATAGGACTAGATCTCTGTTGTGTTCATTTTCAATCATCTCGTCGTCCATGCTACTATGCTAACGCCACCGCCACCAAGCTGCAATGATTTGCCGCCAATGAATACCGCCGAATCTGCCGATTCATCTTGTAGTGGTGCATCAAATGCAACGTAGATTCCCATCCAATTAGATTGAATTTGGTATTGATGACGTGAAAAATAATAACGGTAACTCCATTGAAATGATTCAAAACTAAAGTAACGAGCCAATTTTTTAAAATGTAAGGAGTAGAAAGTACAGATATTTGTGTAAAAATGTAAGGAGTAGAAGTAAAAAGTCGCCATAAAAATAAGTAGTAAAGTAAAGTAAAAATATAAGAAAAATCTACTTGAGTACAGTAACGAAGTATTTGTACTTCGTTACTTCCCATCTCTGCAGGATGGATCATGTTATCTATTAGTTGTCCCACATGCCTATCATCAAAATATTGTCATTATGAGTGCGTATGAAATCGTACGAAAAGTTATGCACCGTAATTTCGTACGTTTTGGACGTTTTTTTCGTCGTATGCGCATGCGCATCTGACGCGCCATTTACGAATCTAGAATATAAATTACAATTAACCCTGACCCTGACCCTAACCCTAAGATATAAAACAGCAAGCAATGTAGTTAGAGACATGAATAAGTGATGATTGCACTGTTTTTCCCAGTTTTACGTCCGTCCGCGGATCTGCTTTTTTTTTCTGTCTGCCAGCGCATGCGCACTGATCTGGTTTTTTGAGGAAAAACGTCCAAAACGTACGAAATAGTGTGCATAACTTTTCGTACGATTTCATACGTTCTTCAAAAAACCAGATCAGTGCGCATGCGCTGGCAGACAGAAAAAAAAAGCAGATCCGCGGACGGACGTAAAACTGGGAAAAACAGTGCAATCATCACTTATTTATGTCTCCAACTACGTTGCTTGCTGTTTTATATCTTAGGGTTAGGGTTAGGGTCAGGGTTAGGGCTAATTGTAATTTATATTCTAGATTCGTAAATGGCGCATCGGATGCGCATGCGCATACGATGAAAAAAACGTCCAAAACGTACGAAATTACGGTGCATAACTTTTCGTACGATTTCATACACACTCATAATGAGAATAGGTTGCTATCATTGGGATGTGCTCTCCTAAAACGTGTTGCTACACATGTCTGCTTCTAGTGTTTATGTATACAGTTAGCTTCACTTTCAGCCATGCAGTGTAGCTCTGCTTCTCTCAGCGTATAATTTAAACATGACAGAGTCACAAGAAGCAAACTGTTTTTTTTTTATGTTCATGACAAGAAAAGGAAGGCTCAGAACAAAAATAAAAGGTCAGAGTGTCTTTGGGGGAGATTATGTGACATAAAGACAGAAGAGCCGGTTAGATGGTCTTACGCAGTTACTCAAAAAGTGACTACAGTCCATTATAGTTCTACATAATATTAATAATGTTTATCCAAAAACTACAACAATATTAAACAAGTTATGATATTTATCTTTGCTGAAATGTGAGATTCCGGGATTATTTGCTAAAACACATACCTTTGCTCCATAATAATTAAAAACTGGTATTAAACTAGTTCTAACAATAAAAGTAATGCTGCTTTTATCATCTTTATCATCTGCAAAAAAAAGTAAATTGTTTTTTTGTATAATTTTCTGAAAATAAAATGTCAAATTATTTAAATTATTTCACTTAAGAGTGTCACTGCTGATATACGAAGGTCACTGACGCCGTTACAGATGAGAGAGAGCAGGACTTTTAACAGATAACACGAAGGCTAAAAAAACATGATGTACATGATGATTCCTATACAGTATCTTTAAAAAAATGGGATTATCTAATATTAAGGATCTACATTATGTAAGGAATTCCAACAGAGGTGATGTGTTATTGCTGGTAACTGTGCTTTCTGTGGCCATCAAGAATTTAGGATGCTAAATTTGGTTTGAACCCTTAAACTTTTTATTCTTTGTGTAAAATCTTTTTATAGATGCCACGTCCCACACAGTAAGGCAATAGTAAATCTGTTCATAGGATAAAAAATAAATCAGAGATAGAAAAGTATCTCAGCGCTACTTATCTTTTTGGCTTCTTATCATAGGTGGGTATGGTACCCAACATTTCTTACCTAAGTAAGAGTAGCACTACTTTAACATTTGTTTACTCAAGTAGAAGTAAAAAAGGAGTCATCTAAGAAATTCCTGAAGTACTGGGTACTTGCTGGATCATAACATCTGATTTAACGTTTGGAAATAATGAATCTTACCGGCAGTTATTAGCAAACTATGGTATTACAACTTATATAATGAAATAAAAAAATTCTATTACATGAGTTCATAATTACAAATTTGCAGTGAATAAAAGTCTTTTTTTTCTGTTTTTTATGCCTAATTTATTAAAATATCCTTTCATGCAGAGTACCTGTGTAGGTTAGGAAAGTTAAAAAACTTATCTACTGCTAACCATATTTCACCTTATCTCTGTTTCTTCTGCTGGGTGGAGTGACCAGAAAATGTACCCAAGTAAGAGTGGTGATATTCAAACAAGAATATCACTTAAGTAAGAGTTTTTTTTTTTTTAATAAAAGGCACTCAACTAAATGTAACTTAGTGAATGAAACCAGTTACTGCTAACATCTATACTTATATAATGTATTTTCTGTTTTTAAAGGAAAATAATAAAAATAATCAGCAAGTGAAAGATTGTTTATTAGCAATTAAATTTGCTTATCTTGTAAAAGAAGTAAGTAATAAATCGATTACAAAGGATTAACATTTTACTCTTTAGTCTGGATTTTTCTTTGGATGCCTCTGTGAAGAATTTACTGTACAGTTTAGGGCAGAATTCTTTTGAGAGGCCTCTCTCTGATTTTCCTTTATAAGTGTTACTGTTGGGATGAGTCAATTTTTTTTGTTTATGAGGAATTTGGGGGGAAAAGGTTAATTAAAAATGGGAATCTAGGAATCTGAACATTCTTTTTTTTACAAACCCAGAAAATATCCATAGATTACAAAATTGGTACAGCAAGGAAAAAGGAGAATTTACTTATTCAATGTCCTAAAAACGACATTATGTGCGATCTGAGGCATAAACACGAAAAAAATGTCGCTCAGCTAAATGTAACTGAGTGAATGAAAACAGTTACTGCCCACATCTATTTTTCTAGTTTTTAAAGGAAAAATATAATTTTAAAAAATCAGCAAGTGAAAGATTGTTTATCAACAATTAAATTCTGCCTCTCATGTAGGAGAACTATGTAATGAATCGATACCAAAGGTTTGAAATTTTACTCTGTTATCTGGATTTATCTTTGCATGCCTCTGTGAAGAATTTACTGTACAGGGCAGAGAGAGAGAAAGAGCTCTATTACTTTCGACTTCTTTTGAGAGGCCTCTCTCTGAATTTCCTTTGTAAGTTTTACTGTTGAGATCAGTCAATTTTTTTAGTTTATGCAGTATTTTTGGGGAAAAAAAGTATTTTATAGTCAAAGTTGATTAAAAAAATGTGAATCTACTGTAAGAATCAGAACCTTCTTTTTACAAACAAAGAAAATATCCATAGATTTCAAAATTGGTGCAGCAGCAAAAAGGAGAATTTACATATTCAATGTCCTAAAAACAACATTATGTGCGATTTGAGGCATAGAGACGGAACAAAACTGTCAGAGAACAAGCAAAATGTTCTGCACATCTGCACATCCCAGCGGCTCTTAACATTTTATAGAAAG